ACTATATCTATATGACATGCCGGTGACGTCATGCCACCCTCACTCTATATCTATTATGACATTGTTTACTATCAGTGACTATATTAATCCAGTGAGTAGGTGTATAGTAGTAATATACATTTATTCAGCCAAGGCCAGCTAGTACTTCTGCTATAGTAGTACATTTTTAAGTTGGAGTATGAAAGTAGAGTTAAAAGTAAATGTTATAGAGATTAGGATGATTGAAAAGAAGCCAGTTACTATTGTTATTCAACATTTAACAGAAGGCACTGACACAGAGTTAAAGTAATATGTTTGTTTTTAAGAAGAATTTAGAAACATTTAAAAGCATTCAAGAAATACTATATAGAATCTGTAAAGTGGGAGTATGTACTGTTTTGATTTCGAAGTTGTGGAAAAAGTTAAAAATAAATCAGAAACAAGAATTACTCCCTTTGGATTGGAAGACAGGGTTTAAGTCATATTTTAAGGCGGAGAACACACTTCACCTTTAAAGACCATCAAGCCATCACTGACGTATATGAAAAGAAATGATTGTAGAAGAAAGGGCTCATTGGTCTGGAAGAATCTAAATACCAGAAACATAGAATAAAATGTCTAGCCTATAAACTAATCAGTGTGTAAACCAGGATGTAAGATTGTAGAAGAAAGAGCTCATTGGACAGGAGAAATCTAATACCAGAAACATAGAATAAAAAGTTTGGCCTATAAACAAGTCAGTGTGTATTCCAGGATGTAAAAAAGAGAGCTCACTGGACAGAAGGAATCTAAAAACAAGAAACATAGAATAAAAATTCTAGCCTATAAACAAGTCAGTGTGTATACCAGGATGTAGAAAGTATTGATCGGTTCGTTGGTCTAACTTCAGTCATAACATGAAGGTATCGGTGACTGACTAGTATTGTAGGCGGGACCATACATAGGTTATTAACTCTCTTGGTATAATTAACCAAGTTTCCACAAGATATCGGTGAGCTCACTCAGTCTAGATGTCTCTTGATTTAAGAGCTTGCACTGAAACTCATAGACTTAAAGGGGCAGTCTGCATCTTTTTTAATATTTAAACATTGTAAATTTTACACGAAAATTTTACTAAAATATCATTGTTTTGACTTGATCAACCTGAATTTGTTTTAAAAGGGTTAATTAAAAATGAAGTGTGTTAATTGTTAATTATACTTTTAAAGGGCAGTTTGTAAAATTTCATCATTAAAAACCTCACATGTTATGTTTTACATGTTAAGATTTCTCAAATATTCTATTTACTTCTGTATTTATTTGATCAACCTGAATTTTTTTTCAAAAAGAAGTGTTTAAATTTTTTTTAAATTATTCTTGAAGCAAAGTTCGTTAGTCATTTATGTACATCTGAAACACTTTCATTGCGCCAATTTTAAGTCCTGTTATGGGCAATTGTCTCTACTGTTGTAAAGAAATGTCCTCAATTGCTCACATCATAGCAAGCCATTGTTAGAGTTTCTAGCATAAAAGTGTATGAAATAGTAGGATGTAAACCTTTAATTTATTTTGTATAAAATATGGATTCATTAATTTAATTAAAATAAAGCCTTTCACTTCCTCAATTGAAATGAAATGAAATGAATCTTAACAGAATTTGAATTGCTCCATTGAATTGAGGAAGTTGTTATATAATGAATTAGAATTTGTTATGGTTAGCTTCAGTATCTTAATTATTGTGGAGTCTGTTGCTTCATCAAGAACACTAGTCCTGATGTCACTCCAAGACTATTTCCACTGATGACAACTATGGGTGTAGCACATACCATGAAATTGAGTTACTTAAAGATATTGTAAAGTTGTTTTCTGAACTTTTTGTGTGTATCAGGAACACTGATAGCATGAATATGCAACATTCTAATTTTCAGTGGGTCTTGCAATTAACTTACATATATGAAGTCACTATCACAAAAGTTGCTAATAATTATCAGCAGCAATTGTGATAGTGACATCATGTATAGTTTAGCATTTTATTGGATAGGCTTACCATCCGTTTGTCTCATAAACAGGAATTGAAAGGATTATGTGAATTTCATATGTGGTTAAATATAAGTCATTAGAACGACACTGAGGTAGAAAACTTGTTAGATGACTATTGAGATAAAAGCATCAGAAAACAAATAAAAACAAAGTTGTAATCAAGTGAATTAGTTTGATCTGATAGGAATGTATAGATTAGAATTTAAATGTAGTTTGAATTATATGACTGAATTGTCAGTTAAACAGCTGTTAGTTATTGATTGTGCACTAGTTTTATAGACCTATCATCTGTTTTAGAAGGTCAGGGTCAAGGTCAATTATTATCCATGCTATTTTATCATAAATTCATGCTTTCATTTTCAAATTAAAAAAAAAAATGGAAATGGTTCTTCAATACCAAATTAAAGCCAAAGGGATACAGTTGCCTAAATATTGGTTTAACTTGAAAAGATTTCATTTACCAATTTCACCGAAATCACTGAAAAAATAGCTTATGAAATGTCCCATCATTATCACCATATATTCAGAAAATGGGGCAAAAAATCATTATTTGACAGTTTATTTAAGCATATGGATAATCCAGGTTACATGATTTTGAGTTTTGTGAATGGGGGAAACAGTTTTGAATCATTAATTATTTGACAACTCTAAAGACATTTGGAGTTAATAAGATTTTATTGTATTTTTTGTCCCCTGTTTGATGTAGATATGTACCTTATCTTGGTATTTATACATTGTTAAGAGGTTTTCTAGAATGAAAACATCGATTTGCACCATTGAAATTTGCGTTCAAACCTCTGTGGTTCTAGTTCTTGCAATTCCATTAAAACTAAGCGTTTTATGATGTCCCTTTTGTGATGATGTGATGCCCCTGTTTCATGGAAAAGTAATTATACATCCAAACCATTTGGTATGACTAAACATAAAAGTCAATATGTACCATATTTCACAATAAAATCTATATTTCAGAATGGTCTAAGAATGATGAATAAAGAGAAATCTGTCGTACTGGTTAAGAAAAATGGTCAAAATTTGTTAATGTCTAGTTAAATTGTAAGTTCATATATCATCTATGTCATTGAACCCTTCACATTTGGCTTATGCCACTTTCCTTCCAAACTATACCTTATTGTGTACTGTATTTCTTAAAAACTCTTAGCAGTTGGAAATCAAATAGTAGGCTAATACTGCTTTTCTTGCACTACATGATGAAAATTCAATTTCAATTATTTAGATATTATTGATATACAGTAGAAAAAATGGAAGAGGTAAATTTGTTTAATGCTGTCATCACTTAGAAATATAACCAAAGGTTGATTCTAATAACTGTTGTTACCACGGAAACTTTAAAGCTTTTCACAGTTTGGAGATCAAAACGCTAAAATGGAACTAAGAAATTATTAATTCATTTCGAAATAGTAGTCAATTATCATGTATCTGTTTTTTTAGGTTGTAAATAACAATGGTTTGGTTCCATCAAGACACAGTTCTCTTTATTTCGAATTTCTTCCTTGGACCCACAACATAAAATGATGGGACATCAAAGTCCCAGCTCTCTGGAGCAACAGACAACTACACAGCAGTTCCACAGCACGGAAAGTCAAGACCAGATATTCAGAGTAGAAAGTGTTTCAGAAAGCAGTAATCAGCCTCCAAAGGAACAGTTTTCGCACTTAGAACATCAGTCTCAAAATCCAACATTTTTGATTCAACCTGTTGGAGCTCAACCAAAACCCCTGAATCAAGATTCTGTGGAGACAGAATCATTTGGAAGCAAGCGTCGGGATATGATAGCTCCACGACTCCAGCATCCTACATTTAGTGATATTCGTGGACCAGGATTGTCGGATATGAAAAGTAAAATGAGGTCGGAATCCTTGCCAGAGCCACTGGCAATTAAACGTGAGAAATCTCTACTGTGGACCCGTGAAAGTGAAGAGAGTTACTTTGCCGATAAGTTTTCTGACACATCATCCAGTAACGTAGAGGGCAGTAGTAGCAGTCGAGAAATGTCACCCTTTACAGGGTTTGAGGAATGCACCCAATCTCCTAGTCTGGAACTTTTAGTACCCCCTCGACAACAGTCTTCTGGAAATTCAGACAGTGACGAAAAGGAGGTGAAAATAAAATCAGAACAGTTTGAAGCACCTGAGGAGGAGAGGCCCTCTCATCATGCTGCAAAATTCAAAAAGAGACTTCATGAGCGATATGTGTCTGACATGCAGCAAGATTTCCCAACATCTGGACAATCCTTAGAGACTTTTCCAATGCAATGTCCTACATCGCCTGCTCCCTATCCTAGATCACCACCATATGTTCGTGATTCATCTTCAGAAACAGAGTTTGCCAACATTCGTCGACAGCCAAGTGACTCTCGTTCGGACACCCCTGATGATGTGTTCATGGAGCCTTCACCACCATCCATGGGAATCAAAAGATCGAAGCCACCTTGCCTTCAGCAGAATGAACCTTTGGATCTCAGTACTAGTCTAATCCCTGGATTACCGCCTGCTCCTCAGGTTCAGGAACAAGAGTTAAGTCCCTCAGCAACGAAGCAATTTTCTCCTATGACGTATAGGTCCCCACATCGAATTCCTTACTCTCCTCATGGAATCCTTTCCCCACAATCACCTTTATGTTCAGTTCCTGAGGGCGGCAGGATTTTTACCTTCAGCATGCCCAGTCCGTATGAAGGACCACATTCAGATTCTGATCTCCTGTCCCCCAGTCCAATGTCTCCAAGATTTTTCACTTTTCCGCCTCAGAGTAACATTTTGACCCCGATGTCAGAGGTCAATCGGCTAGCTGTCTCACCACGTGCTCTATATCCGACCAGTCCACTACAATATTCACAATTTCGTGCCAAACATTTGGGACAGAGAATCAAGGAGGAACCAAAGTCAGGGATGTTTGAAAAGCGTTCTTTATCAGAGTCAGATGTGACCCATTTCTGTCCTGTGTGTGGACAAGTGTTTCCTTCGTTCGATAATCTGGCTAAACATATGGCTAAACATTTGCCCACAGAAACAATCCGGTCAGCTGATAATAATAAAATACATTATTGTAAAGTCTGTAATCGGTCGTTTTCACGAAGTGACATGCTGACCAGACACATGCGTCTTCACACTGGATTAAAGCCTTATGAATGTGGAGATTGTGGTCAGGTATTCAGTCGCAGTGATCATCTAAACACTCATAAACGAACTCATACAGGAGAGAAACCTTACCGGTGCCCACAATGTCCGTATGCTGCATGCCGTCGCGACATGATAACACGTCATATGCGGACGCACAACAAGCGCTCAACAAGGCGTGGACGATTCTTGGCTGTGCCTGATACTGAAGCTGAGATACGAAAAAGTTCAATTTCGAGTACGGACACAACAGATTCTCAACATTCTACAAGAACTTGTTCGGCTTCAAGCATGGATAGCATAGACTCGGAATCTGGACATTCTAAACTTAGTCGTAAAGACGTTGTGAATATAGTAGAACCCATGGCGTCTCAAACTCCTTGGGTTTATCGAGGTGAACACAGTGAAATGGGAGATGTACATGAAATGCAGTCGCATAATTTACCCAGTGAAAGACCTTTTGATCCTTTTATGGGATACAGGAAATCTAGGAACTGGTCAACAACGAGCTACGAAAGTGTCGAGTCAGAAGATCACTCTCAACGAGATGCGTTCGTAGATGATGCCTTTACAGATTTATCAGAGCCAGTGACTGGAAGTCGTCCTCTTACTCCAGCCATTGATGCCGAGAGTTTGAAAAAATGTACCATTAGTTCTGACAATCCTACAAATTAATGTAACTTTAGCTAGATATATTTGAATTTTCAAGTTTTTAGAAATTAGCTTATTCATTCCAGTTTTGATGTGTTTCATAAAATTCTTAACTCTGTGATACTGATTTTATTGTCAAATTGTTTTTAAAACTGAAAAAAAACATCATACACATTTTAAATGAAATTATTTTTGCCTGTAACTTTTTTACTTTATGGGTCCAAATTCAAGACTGTATTCAAGGCAATTTGGTATTTAGGTCTCTAAAAGGTTTAGTTTTTTAAAAGTTTAAAAAAAAAATCATGTATTATTTTTGCACTGTTTTTGACCAAGTATCCAAGGTCCATTTTAATCAAGTTCTGCAAATTTGTTCATCAATTTGACTTCATTTTATACCTAATGGTATAAGTTTGTTTTTTATTCCATAATTTAGTGCTGCAAAAGTTCTATTCATATTTCACAACAACTAAAATTCAGGTGATTTTAACGTCCAGATTTCTTATTAGATAATCACATAATAGCAACCAATCAGATAACTTTAATGTCTGGAATTATGATTTTTAAAAGGAATACTACCTCTAAGAATGGACATCAAATTTGGATTCTGGAATTAGGAAATTACTTTAAGAATTTAGTTGTTGTGTAATATGGCCCTGAACTTGTGATTATAATTATAAAATACATCATAATGTTTTGTTTGTATATATATATTTACTATGTGTGGAATATTTTGTTCTAGTGAAAACTTTAGTCATTTTTTAGTTTTGATGGTTTCTTGCCTCTAAATACTTTTCTTGGACAACAAAGAATTTTTCGGACATAATAATTTAGTGCTAGGTATTTCCAATCATGCCACATTTTGATAATAATATTGTGATAAAAAGGATATAATACAAGTATTGTTTCTATTTAATTGTAAATGAACCAATATCAGAAAGCTGAAATTGATCTCTTTCAGCTGTTAAATCAATTATTTTAATAACTGTATCACTTTTGGTTGTGAAGATCAGTATTTCGAGGCTCAGAATAATAAATCCAAACCATCAAGATGATTGTTATTATTCCAACTTATTATTTGGAATTGGGTCGTTTTGAGTGTGTCTCTGGAATAATTTGAATCTTAAATATGTTTAAAAAGGCTGCTTGCTTTGAGATAAATCTGAATCGTAAGGTGAATGTTATAAGAAACAGGGGCTTGGATTTAATTCTCAAAAACTACATATGTGAGCCCTGCGGTCATCTCCAGGAAGTCAAGATGTTAAAGAATACAATATTCTGATTGGCTTAATTCTCAATTTCTCTATTCAAAAACTATTCTGATTGGCTAAAATTAATGAAATCAAAATAAATTTTTATTAACTAATCTGATGAAGTTTACAAAGATTGCCCCCGAATATGACTAGATGAAAGAATTTGTCTTAAGCCAATGTTTTCGAGATGCAGTCAAGCAGACTTATATATTGGTACCAGTATTGTAAAGACAAATGTTTTTATTATTTGTTAAAAAAGGGAGGGGTAGTTGATTTTCCCACCTCTCTCAATATATAAATATATATATATATCATGTGTTATTTGTTATTCTATATTTAATATGTTGGAAAATAAAAGTGCTCTTTATCTTTTCTCTAAGAGTAAGGGTCTGCATAAAATCTTTTGATCAAAATTTGTGGTATTTGGAAAGGCATCTTCACCGTGTCAAGCTTTTATGACTGCAATTGACAGCTTTTTTGTGCAGCCAAGCATAGCCTCGACAGAAAGACTGTAAAATTATTGCTACTTGTTTACAGACTTTCTATTGTGGGCTCTGATTCAGTGGTGTACAATCCAATCAAATTGCTTCATTTACAAACTTCTGTGATACAAGAATACTATAGTGACTGTTGCAGTTAAGGTATCGTAAAGTTAGTAATAGCTTGACAAAGTGAAGATGATGGAAAAGGTGAATATTTGACACACATCCATGTACAATTCTATTTCATTTTTAGGTAGAATAAATAGTAACTGAAACTTGTGTGTAATTGTGGTATTCAGATTTAAACTATTTTGAAATGAAATGGACAGCTCATGTTTATGTTTGAAACACGGCTAGGTGTGAAAAATACCTACAGTGCTTAATTACCACAAATTTTGATTATAAATAAAGATATTGTCCCAATTATCTTTGTGAAATTATTAGTATGTTTTGATGTGATCAAATATAATTTGGTAATTAAGTAAGAAACAAAATCTATTAATTATGTTGAAGCTTCCATGTCAGTCCAAATTATATATCTAAAAACAAAATGAGTTGACATGAACAGTTCTGTAAATTGTCTTATATTTGTTATACCAACTGAAAGAGCTCAATCTCAGCTCCCTTGATACAGATTGCTGAGATTGAGCTCTATCAGATAAATCCTGACTTGTTTTTAAGTTGATCTAAAATATTAAATATCAAGATCACTAAAATGAAACTTTGTAATTTTTTGGCTCTGAAAAAAAAAAAAAAAAAAAAAACATTTTTTAAATATTATTTTGTTAAGAAAATGGTTACAATAATTAAAATAAAGCTTGTCAGGTTTTGTTTGAAGTTTGCTCACAGCAATGTTATAGTAATCTCACTTTCCCAATTTGTGCTATTTTTTCAAGAGAGTCTATTTGACAAAGTTCCCGGTGACTCAATTAAACTTCCAGAAAATTGTTTTATAAATAAAATATATTTTAATTTTTTAAGTTAAGATTTAAGTAGCTGTATGGGTAATTTTACTGGCTTAAAAAATTGAAAAAAGATGAAAAAAGAATTTATGAATCTATTGGATTTATACGGAAGCGTATTAAGGCCATTCATTTTTTTTTTTTTTGAATTTTCAAGTTAGTATGTTGAATTTTCAAGTTAGTATGTTGAATTTTCAAGTTAGTATGTAAAATTTTCAAGGAAAAATCTACTACCTTTGGAACTCTCAAAAAATAGCTTATTTCATAGTACTTTGTTTTATTTCTTTCCAAGCCAATATAAGACACCATATTATAATATTTTGAATCATTTTGTCATTCATTATTTCATTCATATTTCATGAATTCACTTCGCCTTTGAATAATTGACTGTTTCCTTCCTTGGAAGATTTTTTCCTGCTATTTTCTGTATAGTTGCAGATATTAGTGCTATAATTTAAAATAATGATCTGCCACAAAAAATAGGTATTTCTTATAATTTTAATTAGTTAGACATCCCAATAGAGAAACAGTTTATAAACAACACTTTAACGGTTGAGTGCATACTAATCCTCATGCTTCTTACCTCAGACTTTAAAATGGAATAGTCAAGATAAGATCTCATTAGTCTAACTAATGGGATGTCTAACTAATGGGATATAACCTTTTAATGAAATCAAGCTGTTTACAATCTGATAAAAATGTAGATTGAAATGTTTGGTTTTCTGATTTTGCTGTAGGTTACTACTCACCATCCACGATCTGAAGAAATACTTCTGAACATATGCAGTCAATTTTTTAGTTTATTTTCCATAAACACCACTGAGAGTGAACTAACACTACAGTCAAATTTTATGATGAATTTTTCAGAATTACTGACATAGTGTACAAATCAGAGAAAGTAACTTGAACATATCTTCTACAGCAATTTTGTCAGATTATTTGATGATTACAAGTGGTGTCATCCTTAATGAAAGAATTCTTGACAATCTTACTATGGGAATTTCTTATTAACCTTGAAAAAATACAGCCTTACTGATAAATTTAAGCTTAAGATTTTTGAGAATTTTACTCAGAGTGACTGTTTATATAGTTGTTGACAATGTATTGATTATGAATTTGTACGGTGAATTGGGTCTGGGTTGGGTTCCAGTAGATGTGGCTTTGAATTTCTAAATTTTTCTGCCTTTGTGAGATTTTTTCCTGAATAGCTTAACTAAGATAGATTTCAAAAAGGAATACTGTTTCTTAGAATTTAGATTTTCAAACTTGGCTAATAAGAGTATAGATTCATTTTTGGACCCAACCAGTCCTCTCTAATAATCTGATAAATCCATTGTAATGAAACTATTGTAATTATCCTTAAAACTACATATTTATCTGAAAGTGATTCTAAGCGTTTTTCAATATTATTGTTGTTTCATGGATTGGATTTATGATATACAAGAATTCTGATGTATAGTTATGACACCAGGTACATCCACTAATAAATATAGACTCATCTTGGCCAAGTTATGAATTGAAATTGTATGTTCATTTTAAGAGTTTGTAAGATAGAGTCTGTCAAAACTTCTAGTACAGAAATCTGATAGGTTAATTATATGAAATTTTGAATGAGGTTGAATGATGAACTAGTCTTGACACCAGACATCACTGAACTTAGACAAAGTTACACTTAATGATAGAGTAACCAATCAGATACATTTAACAGGAAAATCACAGTTTAATTTTCTTTAGAATGAGTCTTGATTTTAAGTTTAATTTCAACTGAGATATTTCTTTCATCATTTTGTAAATTAAGGCCAGAAGTAAGTTTAAATGATCAAAGGGAAACTACTCCATAATTGGATGTCAAGTTATCAGTTGGGCACATTGTCATAGCAAGATGTTTCGAACCTTAGCCACCAAATTGATTAGTAAACAACAATCCAACTCTTGAATCCCAATAAACCTACTGATAGTTCACAAAATGATATTGACAAGAAAATTCATAGTTCGGCCCTCATATATAAATATTTATTTGGTAAAAAATAAGATTTTGAATTATTTTGGTCAAAATGTAAATAAAATTATATTTTGTTTGTTTTTGTATTTATTTTGTATTTATTTTGTAATTGATTTTGATTTGAAAAATGATTATATTTTTGTTTTTGTTCGTTTTATTTTGAATTGGTATGTCCATTATAATATTATTTTGCAGATGTCATTGAATACTGTCATTTTGTAATTAAGCATGTATTATTCTTATCATTATTATTATTGGATTTTTTGAAGCAAGTTCAGTTTGAAAATGAACATTTTTAAAGTTTGAATAAAGAAATTGATATTTTAAATTATTTTTACTATAGAATGCTGAAAAAATTTGGTTTGGAATTTAGAATTTTTTCTTGTGAAAGAAAAGGAAAATAGATATTGAAACTTTTTTATAACCAAATTACAAATGAATATTTTAATGAAAATTGAAAATCTTTTTTGAGTTAAGAAAAAGAATAAAAATGATTTACTTACATGTTGGGAATGAATAAATCTAAAAATAGCAAAATATCCAAAATCAAAACACAGTATTTTTATTGAATGGAAAATTTGTCATATTCAAACTGAGCCAGGGATTCATCTGTTGTTTTCTTTTGATTATTTTGACTCATGGCGAATGTTAATAATGTTATTTTGTATTAAATTTGTACGGTGATAATAAATTTCCCAGTGATTTTAAATACTTTTCATATTGGTTTCATATTGGGCTCATATTTACATGCAGTCTGGAAACCAACAAAGGGAAAAATAAAGCTTAAAATAAAATTTGTTCTTTTATTTCATAAAAAGCTAGATTATTGCTGGCATATGTCATGATTGAATATTTGTACATGCCAGAGATTTGGTCACCAATGTCCAGTGATACGTGTTTCATGATGAAATTTTCAGAGCTGTTAGATGACAAGCAACAGCAACAGTAGAACTGAGGGTAAAAATATGGGGTAGATTGTCTAAATGGGCGGACAACTGGTAGGGTTGAGATTCCAAATGTGGCACAAACCTTCAGTGGAGGTTGTCTTAAAGAAAAAAAATTGAAAAGATAAATTGATTATGTGATTCAAAATGACGTACCGATTGTTCCTTGTAATGAAAGTTGAATAAAGCCTATTACCTTGTTAACAATCAAGAGGAAATTTTTTGTTTGACAGAACATTGTCTAGTTATATTAATGCCACAAGGTGTGGAAAACAAAGACCTATTCCTAAGCTATTATTGAAATCCAAATAAAATAATAAGGTGCAAAAAATAAGAACCTAAAAATATATATCATTTCATGGTGATAATTTTCTTCCTGCAATTTACTAACCCCATTTACAGTCAGTCAAACAATATTATTAACACATTAAAAAAAGGGGAATAAGGAAACAATTGCATCAATCCTTTGACGCCTTTTTGGGTAAAAATTTCAATATACAAGCATGCTTTTGAAAGAAAATATAATCTAAATTCATATTTTTGGGAACTTGTGCTGATTGAAAACGTTATTTAATCATGTGTCAATTTGCCCAATGACCCATTGTATAATTCATGCCTGGGGCGATTCTGCAGACGTGGCCGAAAAATACAATAAGCGTCTGGATGATGGTGTGTAAAATCACGAGTACTTGCCCTTTAATAGATGACGCTAGTGTCTTTTTTAATCAACGTCATCACTTTTCTTTACCATACTGCATCAAGACAGACAACATGCCTCTCGTAAGTTTTCATTTATTCCAATCTTTAGATTATTTTTCGATGAAATTTATCTGGGAAGATGATTCTGAGAACAGATAATGTTTCGATCATATTGAAGCATTTAATAGTCTCGCTCAATATATTTTTTTTTTTGTCAAATAAAATGACGAAATTGTGGGACTGACTCAGAGTAGACTGACTTTTTAAATTTAAGTTTATGTCTTCGAAACTATTCCGATTTATTGATCATGGCTAATTATGATTTAATTGTTATGCTATACTTTGTGTAACCGTCTTCTAACGCTGTAGAAAATGGGCCATATCCCATTAAATCTGACAAAGCTGACAAAATTACACCCTTTTCTAGTCGTGGTAAACAATAACTTTAACTACTTAACTTTAAGAGTGAATAACATAACATACACAACAGTTGGAAATTGGAAAAGAGTGGCCAAATATGCCCCTATCCTGGAAATATTTCCCTCATCACACACACATTGTAAATTTTAATTAGCCCAATCGGGGGAAAAAAATAGATGTGAAAGTCTATTCATTTATTTTAGACTTTCACTCATGGAGATATTCAGTTATCTATATGACTTAATATTATGTATATAAGTAAAAGTATGGTTTTCTATTGTATATTTTGTAGCCATCCGGAAGTTCAACAAGTGTAGGTTCTGGAGGTAGAACTGCAGCCTCAGCTAAATCGCTATCTCCCAGAAGCGGTGGAACTGTGGCTAGACAAAGGTATGTAGCATGATGATTGAGTATCTTCACAGTTTACAGATTTTGTCTCAATTTATACCTTGACCACAATAGGGAGCCATGGTGGCGCAGTGAGTTTAGATGCTTGCTTGCTAACCTGATGGTCCAGGGTTCAATCCCGACATAGGTTGAGATAATTCCTTCAGATTTTTCAACCCAGTTTCTCAGTGAGTCATGCAGGTAAGAGGGACTGACATGGATAAAGCGTCATAGAAGCCTGCATGTGCTGCAGACTGCATGTTAAGGTCGAAGAACTTGACAGTTGGAAATCTAAAAATACCGCTGTCTTGGCAAAATTTCCCTCATTGCACCCTGCAATAGCTCTTTATAGGAAATCATGAGGCGCTTCCTCAGCATATTGTCCCAATTCAGTGGCAAGGGACACTTATTTAGTGTTTTTGATTTTTTAGCATTGGGTCTTGAAGATTAATACTCAAAGGTTAGGTCGCCTCCAAACATTGTATGGGTTTGCATTTATTTTAAATGGCTCAGTCAAATGCTTAATTACTACAAATTTATTTTTTTAGGAAACCAGGAGGCACTCCCTCAGCAGGTTCCCGTAAAACAGCAGGTAGTAGCGCTGGTATGTGGAAATTTTACACAGAAGATTCTCCAGGTATCAAAGTGTAAGTATTTCTAAAGTGAATTCTACCTCATTGGATGTCCGAAAATTTTAATTCTTAATACCTGACCAGTAAGAATATATATTCATCAGTGGACTTACCTAGTGCTGTAAATAGAGGATAAATCCATACAATAAGGGATTCTGTTGTTTACTAATGACCACTGATGATTGAATATCCTTATTGGCCATGGTTAAGAAGTTAATTTTATGTTCAATTCAGGTAGTATTCCTTTAATGTGTGTTTTGATCTTTGGACTGCAGGAATGTATACTGCAATTTAAGACAGATATATCTAGTACCCTTTTTGTTATCACTATGTAAATTTTGTGGTTAATTTTATCATTGAAAATGGCTGCAATATTCTATAACATGGTTTTCTGATAAGTGGTGCAAATAGCTAAAATTGAGTTAAAAAAATAAAATAAATATAATTGAGGCTAATCAACTGGAAAATATACATGACTAATGTCTTTTCTTGATTCTGTTTTTCAGGGGTCCAGTTCCAGTCTTAGTCATGAGTTTGTTTTTCATCGCTTCTGTTTTTATGTTACACATTTGGGGTAAATACACTCGGTCATAGACCTACAGACTTATTGATTTTAAACGTTCGAAACAAGCAAAAAATATTGACTGAAATTTTATGTGTATTGGTGGAAGGCTATCTATTGGACTTTTCCCAATGAAATGAAGTGGAATTGGAAAAAAGGAATGGTATTCTTAAAAATGGTTTGAATTTAGTTCTTGAGCATTGTATTGGTGGGGGGAGGGGGAATGGTGAACTTGTACTCTGCTATAAATGCTGGTTTTCTATTAAATTTACAGAGTTAGTTAAGGATAATAATTTGGGAAAGGTAAAGGGTGGCAATACAATCATGATTTTTGTTAAAAGCTCATTTTTTTTTTTGTGGATAGAATACTTTCGAAACTTCATTAAATCACTTAAAAATTGTACATTTCAAAATCTTTGTCATAATGTTGTTATATTTTGTCTTTTCATTTATGACAAATTTTATGCAAAAAAAAAATATTTATACATGCTGGTGTTTTAATCATACAGTCCCAAATTTTCAGGCATTTGCCTTTGACATTCTAGTACATATGTCGAAACCCATGTTGGAGATTTGATGGTAATTCCAGTGTAGTTCTCGCTTAGATTGGCAGGTGACTTTTACAATTAATGGTGATGTCCAATAAGTTAATATCCTTCCAAAAAAGTGTTTGAAGGGTGAGCCTAGTGCCCATACACGGCTATTTGAAACATTCATGGAAAGCCAACCATAGGCATTTGTGCTCATCCTGGTGTGATTTTGCCATACACACAAAGACAACAGGGAAATGTTTCGTTTTAAATGTAAATTCACTGAACATTATATTTCTATGTACCCAAAGACATTCTAGGGCAAATGGCATACAGCTGAAAGTTTATTTTGCATATTTATAAAATTTAAAGAAAAAATTTGATTCAAACCTCAATGTAGTCAGAGAGTAGTAATGAATAGTAACTAAATATTGCATATGGTACATAATGTCTTTCCTAAAAAAGTGAATAAAATTGTTAGTCATGTAGTTGGGAAACGCTCCCAGCAGTCCTCAAATTTATTTTCCTGACCCATTATAATTCCAATAGTAAGAACCGTTTTAAACTGGAAGGAATTTGTAACTGTCCACATTTTAAACATATGTGTTTTCTTACTGGAGACAAAACTAAACTTGTCCTTATCACAATTCTACACAAATTTTCTAGCCGTTGGGGATTTTCTTTCTCAAATTTCAGAAAAGCTATCATATCTTTTGTTACAGGTTCCTCAATAGTTTTGTTAAATTCAATCCATTGGCTGGAATCAAATTCAAAACCAACCAGAACCAATTTTTTGACAAATTCATGATGTATAATGCCACTATCCAACAATAAGGTGCTAATTGGTATTTTAAATCTATGTGGTAGGAGCCCAGCGTCCAATAGATTTTCAGCTAGAGTCAAATTTCCTTTAGTCAGAAGAACAAAGGTCATGACAGTCATGTCTACACCGCAGATGTTAGGACGTTTAATGTTCACCATTGCACCAGCTTTAATCAACTTCCGAGAAACACTGATGTGATCATTTTCTATCGCTGACAGTAAGGGGGAATATCCAGTCAGATTTGTAGAATTGACATCTGCTTCGTGCCTGATTAATGTCTTGACAACGTCCTCGTGACCCTGTGATGCCGCGATGTATAGAGGTGTACATTTATTTTTATCAGATATATTCACCCTTGCACCGTGCTTCAGTAAAATTTTCACCACCATATTGTCTCCCGTCCGACTAGCTTCACAAAGGGGCAGACAACCTTTAAAATGGGAGTATCTGTAATTGATGTCAGGCCCTTTCTGTAAAAGGTCTGATAATTTTTCTCTGATATAAATTCTGTCTTCAGGATCATCATACTGAGTCCAATCTAGTCGACAAATGTAAAATATTTTCTTTAAAACTTTTTTTATCTTGTGATCTAATTCCTGAGCCATGTTCTGAAAGATAAAATGATACGGTAAAATATAATGTGAATTTGCCACAGAATTCAATAAAAGGTGGTGGGGGTATTTCTTTCAATATCATCACTGACATCAGTATAAATCAGTAGTAGACTCTCCTTAAGACTAGGTGTTAAGATGGCACAATAATTTTTGGCCCAGTGTGTGTTAAAGATCCTATGAAAGTTGGAAATCAAAAAAAGAGAAAGTTAGAGCCACTGTCCTGACAAAATTTCCCTCATTGCACACTTCATGGATTAGCTCATTAGTTGCAGAACAGCCCAGTTACAGAAAACTTTCTAGCCTAATGAAAATATTAAATATTATGAAAACCAAATAAGAGACTATTTGAAATGGTAAAATCTTACACTTGTCAAAGACTTACTAAAATCATAAAGTTATAGGTAGAAGTTATCATAACCCTATGACTAAAATGAAAACAAAATCAAACGTCCAAAAGGTAAATAAATATGAAAATTATTATCTCCCCCTGATTTCTAGATTTTATACCTTCCCCTTTTTAATGAAAACGAAGTAAAACTTTAATGAAACTTGTCTTTTTATTGAACAACGCGCCTGAAATTCTTAAAGACAGATTCGAAAATTCACTGTTTTTTTCATATTCCAATCATTTTGTATTTCAAATTTGTAATTTCGTGAAACTATTTGTTATTGAATCTTGTTTTTGTACGCAACCAGTTTTTGCAGACGCTTGTCAACAAAATACATCAACATTGCGAAGAAGGTCATTTTTGTGTTCATTCCAGTTTTGATGTAAGTAAATTAATTCTAAATGTTCAACGCAAATCAGAAAATCCCATAAAATTTAATTTGTTCAGTTTATGAAGGGTAGATAATATAGGCTAATTAATTTGCACTAAAATTTTTAGGCCTACTACAGACTATAGTTTTAGTCTTAGTGAAGTGTCCAAACCGGTTCAGAAAATTATGATCGGTAGTCGATAGTTGTGTACAGTATGATGATTTAGAGGGGCATTCTATATTTTTTTCAACTATTTTTTTTATGTGGTTTGGAGCTTGAAATACATAAAACAGCATGCCAATTGCCAACATGTAGATGGAGATGTCCCTTACCTTGTGTAAAAGTTCCAAATTAAAATATCTAAGCGTTCTTACACATAACAGGTATGGTCTTGTAATGTATTAGCGGTGTAAACAATTATAGGGGTATTTTGTGATTGGTCAGTTTGTGACTACATGGCGAAACGTCATCGGTCTAAGGGCACCATGTTTTGGTTGACAACACAACATGCTTCCACCATTTTTTTCATTATTTCTATGAAACTGATACATATTGAAATTCCGTGGCATCACATCACACTGAGCTCAGGACAACTTTATTGTGAACAATCATCATTTTTTAAACACCCACATCTCTCTATGTCGACGTATATTGTCCGCACCCCTGTCCTTCCATCGGTCCGTCAGTCAACATTTGCTTGTAAACGCTCTAAAAACTAGATTTTTTGATAGAATCAAATGAAATTTGGTATGTGTATACATATTCATAAAACAAAGATCAAGAACGAATTTGAGCTATTTTTGACTGTTAGAAGCAGAGTTATTGCCCTTACCCGATTTTGATGAAACTTCAAATGGATGTTACTGGACCTAAATCGAAAGGTTTGAAAAAGTTTACTTTACTTCTGATTAAATTTAAGGCTTTTTCAAGATTTAGGCCTCTTAGCTATTTTCGACCGTTAGAAGCAGAGTTATTGCCCTTGCACCAAAATCTTGAATATTTAACATCCACATGCCGTGGTGGGCGTATATGGCTGTGGTGCACTATCTTTATGTTTCATAATCATGCATGGCAGATTCTGACCACCATACATTCTTGGAAATAACTTAATTATCAGAGTTCTGTAGAAAATGGCTACCCTCAACAACATGACTTATTATTAAAAACAACTGATGATTAAAAATTAATTTATTGCATGAATACAATGACTGAGGATTGGACTCATTGAAAAATCATTGATTCAATTTGATAGGAAAGTGCCATATTTGTTTATATCTGGTACAGGTAATATATTACACAATCACAATGTAAGTGGTTTGAACCCTCCAGACTAAATTTTTACTGTACTAGCAGATATTTGATTATGAGAATGGATTCTAATTGGACTACGGTACCAATTGTTTTCACAGTGTGTACGTATCCGAAAGTGAAGAATTGCAGGTCAGTATCTGAAATACTCTGTTCACTTAAAAGTCACATCATGTAATAGCCCTGTTCATTTTATAGAAATTCTCAAATTTGAGAAAGCCTGGTCAACTTATAGAAACTATACAAAGGATATACATATATTAACACGTATAACAAGTCTACTTCTGCATGTTGACATGTGCAGAAGGTTTTGTTGACAAATGGTGAAGAATTTTTGATCAGAAATATAAAGATCAGCCTTTGTTTGTGTACTTCTCAGGTTGTTACATATAAATTATGGATTTTTATCATTTTAGCAAAATTCACAAAATCACAAAATAAATTTTCAGTCGAAAATATGTTTAGTTAAATGGTTTCATTGGTCCAATCAAAATAGAGTTCTTTTAATCTTAGATATGTAAAATAACACCTCATAATTGGGTAGTTGCTATTTTCCAGAACAGTAAAAATGGATTCCACAAGATTTATTAAGATTTATTTTATCAAATGTGACATAACACTTGGATTTTTCACTTTGAAACTTTCATGAATGGTAAGGGCCATCTTTCTCTACATGTTGGCATAAAGTAATGTATTTTACGATCAAGACCACAAAAACTCATTGAAAAAACCTTTCTAGCACTTTTAGTTAGCCTAAAGCTGTAAAGGGATATTGTTTTTAACAGAGTTATTTGTTTTTAAGTTATTTGTTGACTAAGGAAACTGTAGACTGTAACACAAAATTTATATTTATAAGACATGTCCAATATAACCAACGCCATAGAGACACTTTATCATTTTTTGACTAACTTTTGGTCAGAGGCTTGGTAAGGATTTTACTGATGAAGAAGCAGAGAGGGGGAGGGGGGGAGTAGTGTTTCTTCCTTGGAGAACCGTTTTGAGGATCAGAAGGGGGGTTGGGAGTTTTTCTTTATTTTCTGTTATTTTTTTTTATCATACTAAGGATTAACGATTCTCTTGAGCATTTGAACTGTTCTTCTTCCCAAACTGTTCTTACTCCCTACACTAAAGATTAGATGATTTTTATGAAAAGGGATGTTTTCTAAATATTTGTTTGGTCAGTCCGTAGAGCTCAATTTCAGTTGATATCACATTGCTGAATATTTAACCACGAAAAGCTTTTAATGTCACAAATAATGAAACTACATAATCCACTAATCCATAACACTACACAATCCAGTGATTTGATTGATTGTTTGTTAGCTTCATTTAGTCAGAGGTTAATCTAAAATAGGTATACATGTATTTATAAAAATAACACTTTTCTGTCATTACCATGCCCACATGTTTTCAAGTAATGTAAGGGTGTGTAGGGAGAAGGGAAGTACATTCGGAATGATGTTTACTTTTGTGACGAAATTTGTTCACTCATCTGCAGGCAATTTTTAGACTTTATTTTGTTCTTATTCTACAGGCTACAATTCTTGACAATAATGTTTATCAACTTTTTTTTTGGAAAAGGTAGAGCTTGGCTAATGTTTAGGCCTAGGATCAAACGAATACCACTTTGAGAAATGCTGATCTTGATAGGCTTAGTAATTTCCTTCTGTTAATCATTCACTTTATCCCTGTTTCTAGGCTATTTGGATATTTCAAGATATATCAAGTAAATTGGTGCATACCCCAATAAAAATATGCATTTTACGCTTTTAGAACGGGTTTGTTGAAATATTATACCCCTTTTACACTAGGCCTCGATAAAGAGAACTGGCCTGGATCGGTGCCTGGCTCCGATCAAGACGTCTGTTTACACTGGCGTTCTGTGATCTGGGCCAGGCCCACTTTAAACGGAAATAAGTGTGTGCTCTCTAATTAAAATTATTACAAATGGCCCACGAGGAGTCAAACTGGTAGACAATAACAATAATTTTCGATTGATTCTGGGTATTTTGTTAAATAAATACAAAATACCGGATCTATTATTATGGTCGAGAATATCTCAATTTCTTTTTATAATTTTTTCAATTTCTCCTGGCACTGTTTATCAGTCCTCCGAGGGTAACCTTTCTCAGCCAGAAGATCCGAGAGATTATCATACACCTTGTGTATCCGTCCAACTGGGACTGTATTCGTTCATCTCCCCACAAGGTGATGAAATCTCTCGTTTCTTCTGTCGTCCACCCTTTACCTCTGTCGGAGGATGTTTTATTTATTTGTAGATTTATAATGGCCGCCGATACGGAAGTTGTAAACCCTGCACATGCGCAGAAGAATTTTTAAACAGAGCCAAGCACGCATTCGTTTTACACTAGTAAAATTTAAGTGGGCCAGGCACCGAACCAGACCTGGCCCACATCTTATTGCGGTGCCAGGCCGTGCTAAAATTGGCTCGCTTTATTCCATTTACAATACTAAAATTGAAGTAGGCCAGGCACCAATCAGAGCCTGGCCCACTTTATTGGAGCCGATAAAAAAATATACATTTTGCACTTTTAGAATTTAGGATTGGTTTGTTGATATCTTATACATTAATATATTATAAATTGGTGCATACTCCCATTTAAGATAAGCTTATACATTTTGCACTAGTTTGTTGATATCTTATAGATTAAAAGGGCAGTAACAGTATGCAAATTTATCATTATCATGTTTATTTTACTTAAATCACCACAAAATTTTTTAACAGCTTTCCAAAAAGCTTAACAAACTTAAAAAGTTTAACGCCTGTTTTTTTTTTCAGTGAAAAGTTTCAGATACATTAAGGGACACACATTTCTCTAGATTTTGGTGTATACTTTTAATCCACTTGAGCAAAAAATTTTTAAACCTTAAAAAAAGGAAGCCCTCTTTATTTGAGGTAGGCATTTATATGAAAACTACTGTAAGTTGTAAATTTCTATTCAATTTGATCATTGAATCATAATATTAAAATAATTTTACTCTGTCAGCCATTTAGTTTTGATATTTTTAATTTTGCTTATTTATCATAATTCATTTAGAATATAACTGTAGCATAAATAAAGTTTATTTGTGGCTAGTGAAACTATGCTGTGCACTTGAAAGACACCTTAATAGTTCAAGACTAGTAAGCTGATGCATCTGGCCTGACAAAATTTCCTTCATCGCATACTGCATGTCATTGCCTCTCTTCAATTGCTCAATCTGGAGTCACGTCACTTGACTGCTTATTATAGATAAGATAAGATGAGATTTATAAAATAGTAATTAATACTCAGTAGTTTTGATCCTGAGGATCCTTGGTCCTTACGACCAGAGTGTTAAGATAAAAAAAAAAAAGCTAATAATACATGTAGTAACTTCAATGGACACTTTAAGAAAGGAACAATACAATCTTAGGTTCCCAAGAATCGTTTCTACCAGATCGTCTTTGACCATTGATCTTTCCCACATTTTGCTGCCCATTTACAGCTAGATGGACTGGAATTGTCAACACTCTAACCAGTTGTGCTACAGAACCTCATTATCAATTTGTGCCATATACTATTACACTGAGTACTACTCTAGTACCAGTAATGATTAGTGAACCATAGGTGAACCAGTTCATTCAACCCATAACCTGAATCAGGTCATTGAAACCCTGACCGTAAACACGTATTGACCTACAAAATGCATCCAATATAAATAACTTTTATTGATTGTATTTATATAAGGTTTGAATGACATTTAGAATTGGAGAACACATAAAATAAAAACGACACAAGGAAATATATTATGGCATAACACATTTCGTTACTGTTACTATATTGTACTGTTACTTTGTTATCAAAGAAATGTGTTACCATAACATATTCCTTGTGTTATTTGGTATAGATGATATTTATATTCTGTATTGTTCTTATTGTTGACTAGCTTGAACTTGAATCAATTGATAATTAATTGTTTGTTTAGAATAATGTGATAATTCAGAAATTTGAGTAGCAAGGCTTGTTCAAAAGTATGTCTTGGTCTTATTTGATCATATTACTGTTTTGTTACGTAATTATCATTGCGTGATTAGATTATATGAAAAGTTTGCCATTTTCAGGGCTTAATTCAGGTCTTAAATATGAGCTTATGAGAATAGTCTTCAGAAGTACTAGAAATGTACAAAAATCGCAAAATTCCTTCAAATATGCCTCAAACTAGGCATTTCACTTTCTACAAATTTCTATGTCTAAAGAAAACACTAATAATTCTGGACACAAAGATTTTTTGAAAAAAATATTCAAATTTATTTTAAAAAGATATTCAAATTTATTTAAAAGAAATGTTCAAATATATTAAAAAACTATATTTAAATTTATTTGAATTTATTAAAAAAAAATTTCAGATTTATCAAAACAAATTGTTTAATTTTTTTTAGATGATTATGTATGTATGAAGACTGATATTGAGTAGATTTTCAAGATGCGTGTCAAAATACAAACCATCAAGAGATTAGTGTATGGAGGTTTGGGATTAGGAGGAGTTTATTATACAGCAGTATTCCTTGATAACCGACAGGTATGCTTTTAAATTCATCTCCCATTCCCTTTTATGGCCTTTTGATTTTTTTCTCCAATTTCACAGGAATCAACTTAGTTTAAATGCTCTTTTACCAGCTGATAGAGATCAAGTATCAGTCATCTAGTCTGTTTAACACCCTCAATATTGAACCCCTTTATATTGAACTCTTCCACACATGCATGCCTTGTATAAATGTGAACTGTTTATGTATGATTGGAAGATAAGAAGAGGTGTTTTTTCATCCAGTTTGTTATAAAGATGACACTTTTAATTTGCTCCATCCTGAAAAATACATCTAATTTATAGCCTTTCAAATATGTATTTATAGCATATATTAGCTAAAGAAAAGATCCTATCAAAACCCCTACCAGCTTATCTACCTCCCAGGGATGAACTCCACAAAGCTCTACAAACAGAAGAGTTTGATGTTTTAGTAATAGGAGGCGGAGCAACAGGGTGTGGGGTGGCTCTTGATGCAGTAAGTCGAGGTAAGTAAACAGAAAAGTTTGATGTTTTAGTAATAGGATGTGTAGCAACAGAGTGTGGGGTGGCACTTGATGCAGTAAGTCGAGGTAAGTAAACAGAAAAGTTTGATGTCTTAGTAATAGGATGTGTAGCAACAGAGTGTGGGGTGGCTCTTGATGCAGTAAGTCGAGGTAAGTAAACAGAAAAGTTTGATGTTTTAGTAATAGGATGTGTAGCAACAGAGTGTGGGGTGGCACTTGATGCAGTAAGTCGAGGTAAGTAAACAGAAAAGTTTGATGTTTTAGTAATAGGATGTGTAGCAACAGAGTGTGGGGTGGCACTTGATGCAGTAAGTCGAGGTAAGTAAACAGAAAAGTTTGATGTCTTAGTAATAGGATGTGTAGCAACAGAGTGTGGGGTGGCACTTGATGCAGTAAGTCGAGGTAAGTAAACAGAAAAGTTTGATGTTTTAGTAATAGGAGGCAGAGCTACATGGTGTGAGGTGGCACTCAATCTTATTAAAATTAAATTACAATTTTGTTGAATAATTTTTATACGCCCACATCTCTTTATGTGGATGTATATTTTTGGCACCCCTGTCGGTCCGTCAACATTTGCATGTAAACGCATTTTTGATGAAATCAAATGAAATTCGGTATGTGTATACATATTCATAAAACGAAGATCAAGTTCGAATTGAGCTATTTTCGACCGTTAGAGTTATTGCCCTTGCCCCAAAATCTTGAATATTTACCATCCGCATGCCTTGGTGGGCGTATATGGCTGTGGTCCGCTATCTTTATTTACCTGAGCTCCAGTCAATAAGTGGGATAATACTAGGATAACTACTTAGGTTCACAGTCCTTTCTTCCAGCTGGTCTTTGACAAACAGATCTGGCATTGATCTTTCCTTTACAGATTGGTCAACTTGAATATTTTAGGTTTGAAGACAGGTTTAGTAGAGAAGTTTGACTATTCTAGTGGAACTAGTAGTAGAAGTACCAAACTGATCCATGGAGGTGTTCGTTATTTACAAAAAGCTGTGTTTGGTCTGGATTATGAACAGGTTTTTGCTACTGTATATTTGTGACTATAAGCCAACTACATTAACATTGTTCATTGTATAATTTTATAATATGAATTATGTGTGCCAATTTTAAATTGTGTGCACTTTTAAATATAGCCAAATATACATTATATACATATATTTTGATACATGTTTTTATATTTCATTCAAATTGGATGCCATGTTGTAACATTACGTATTGGTTTCATTAGTCCACATAGCTTTTAATCCAAAATCCAAGCCAGAGGGCTGATTTTAGATTTGCAATTCGGTTGTTCTTAGTTGGATATAGTCGTCTATATTGATAGAGATCAATGAAATTCTGATCATTTACAAGAGACTATAACTGCTAACAATGCTTTTCAACAATTTCTAATGTAGAGACAGCCATTGATGTCACAATTACAATAATATACATATATTTGAAATAAAAGTAACCATAATATTTCTATTTCGTATCCAATTTCAGTATCGAATGGTGAAAGAAGCATTGAAAGAAAGAGCTAACTTGATCCAGATAGCTCCTCATTTAGCTTACCCTTTCCCTATCATGTTACCAGTTTACAAGTGAGTCAATTTTTATATAGCTCCTCATTTAGCTTAACCTTTCCCTATCATGTTACCAGTTTACAAGTGAGTCAATTTTTATATAGCTCCTCATTTAGCTTAACCTTTCCCTATCATGTTACCAGTTTACAAGTGAGTCAATTTTTATATAGCTCCTCATTTAGCTTAACCTTTCCCTATCATGTTACCAGTTTACAAGTGAGTCAAACTTTATATAGCTCCTTATTTAGCTTAACCTTTCCTTATCATGTTACCAGTTTACAAGTGAGTCAAACTTTATATAGCTCCTTATTTAGCTTAACCTTTCCCTATCATGTTACCAGTTTACAAGTGAGTCAATTTTTATATAGCTCCTCATTTAGCTTAACCTTTCCCTATCATGTTACCAGTTTACAAGTGAGTTAAACTTTATATGGCTCCTTATTTAGCTTAACCTTTCCCTATCATGTTACCAGTTTACAAGTGAGTCAATTTTTATATAGCTCCTCATTTAGCTTAACCTTTCCCTATCATGTTACCAGTTTACAAGTGAGTCAATTTTTATATAGCTCCTCATTTAGCTTAACCTTTCCCTATCATGTTACCAGTTTACAAGTGAGTCAAACTTTATATAGCTCCTTATTTGGCTTACCCTTTCCTTATCATGTTACCAGTTTACAAGTGAGTCAAACTTTATATAGCTTCTCATTTGGCTTACCCTTTCCTTATCATGTTACCAGTTTACAAATGAGTAAAACTTTATATAGCTCCTCATTTAGCTTACCCTTTCTCTATCATGTTACCAGTTTACAAGTGAGTCAATTTTTATATAGCTCCTCATTTAGCTTAACCTTTCCCTATCATGTTACCAGTTTACAAGTGAGTCAAACTTTATATAGCTCCCCATTTAGCTTAACCTTTCCCTATCATGTTACCAGTTTACAAGTGAGTCAAACTTTATATAGCTTCTTATTTGGCTTACCCTTTCCTTATCATGTTACCAGTTTACAAGTGAGTAAAACTTTATATAGCTTCTCATTCAGCTTACCCTTTCACTGTCATGTTACCAGTTTACAAATGAGTCAAACTTTATATAGCTCCTCATTTGGCTTACCCTTTCCTTATCATGTTACCAGTTTACAAGTGAGTCAAACTTTATATAGCTTCTCATTTAGCTTACCCTTTCACTGTCATGTTATCAGTTTACAAGTGAGTCAAACTTTATATAGCTCCTCATTTGGCTTACCCTTTCCTTATCATGTTACCAGTTTACAAGTGAGTCAAACTATATATAGCTTCTCATTTAGCTTACCCTTTCACTGTCATGTTACCAGTTTACAAGTGAGTCAAACTTTATATAGCTTCTTATTTGGCTTACCCTTTCCTTATCATGTTACCAGTTTACAAGTGAGTAAAACTTTATATAGCTTCTCATTTAGCTTACCCTTTCACTGTCATGTTACCAGTTTACAAATGAGTCAAACTTTATATAGCTCCTCATTTGGCTTACCCTTTCCTTATCATGTTACCAGTTTACAAGTGAGTCAAACTTTATATAGCTTCTCATTTAGCTTACCCTTTCTCTATCATGTTACCAGTTTACAAGTGAGTCAAACTTTATATATCTTTTCATCTAGCTTACCCTTTCTCTATCATGTTACCAGTTTACAAATGAGTCAAACTTTATATAGCTCCTCATTTGGCTCACCCTTTCCCTATCATGTTATCAGTTTACAAGTGAGTCAAACTTTATATATCTTTTCATCTAGCTTACCCTTTCACTGTCATGTTATCAGTTTACAAGTGAGTCAAACTATATATAGTTCATAGTTGAACCAACCCCAGAAATTACCAGGCTGAAATTGTAAACATCATGCCAATCACAGTTCTGAAAATCCATCTTAAAAAGGTTTTGAACAAAACTAATTTCCTGAAAATGAAATATGGAATGAAATTGTTCAAAATTCATGGGAAATGTGCGAATTTTTTATTTTGGTTTTATTTTGTAGGTGGTGGCAAGTGCCATATTACTGGGCTGGAATCAAAATGTATGATCTGGTGGCTGGAAGAGAGAATCTCAAATCTAGTTATTATTTATCGAAATCTAAGGCACTGGAGTTATTTCCCATGTTAAAAACTGAGAAGCTGGTTGGAGCCCTTGTTTATTATGATGGTGAGTTGCAGCTGCCGGTGTCTGATAGATCTTTGTCAAAAATGGTCTGGTCTATTGTTATATTCTAGAGGATACAGCCAAATCAAAAGCCTTGGAGTTGGGGGTTCATTCAAAGCAGAATTAGAAATAATACTTTTTGAACCCTGATCATTGATGTAGGTCAGATGAGCTGACATGGAAAAAGCTTAATAGGACATAAAAAAGGGCTGTTCACAAGAAAGATTCTATGACAGTTGGAAATCAAATAGAGTAGACTTATTGTGGTGTCTTCATTGGAATTTGTTCTAAGTAAAAAATCCTCCTGTCCTGGCAGAATTTCTATTATTGCTCACTTTAACAACACTGATGCAGGATATACAAAATAATTAGCTCTTTGGGACAAAACACATGGATGAAAACACCTGAACAGTAATTTTTTATATGTATCAGGGACACTGAAACGTTTTACACCATTTCGTTTTCAATCAGATGTCTGTAGTTTTCGTAATTCCACTAAATCAAGCGATTTATAACGTCACTCTCGCAAAAGATCCTTTTAATTCATTAGAACTTTTGTGATTGTGACATGATAGAAAGCTTAGTTTTTAAAGAGAATCGTAAGAACCACCTGATCGGAATGGTGCAAATTAATAATATCAATGTCTGTGATACACATAGAAAATATAGACCTAACAATCCCTGTACCAATAAAAACAAAATGGTGTGTATTTATTATAGGTCAGCATGATGATGCTAGAATGTGTTTAGCACTAGCTCTGACAGCTGTTAAAATGGGAGGAAAACTCACTAACCATACAGAATGTATTGAAATACTGAAGCAAGATGATGGCACCGGCATTCCGAAAGTTTGTGGGGCAAAAGTTCGAGATATACAAACAGGTGAGAGAAGTTTTGTTTAGATTTAGTTTGGACGGATATTTGGTTAAGAACTGTATCAACCCTTGTTTTTGATGTTTTTGATGTGCAAACCATCTTGAGTCAGCTTACAGAGCTCTGTCAACACTTGTTTTTGATGTACAATCCATCTTGTGTCAGCTTACAGAGCTCTGTCAATACTTGTTTTTGATGTACAATCCATCTTGAGTCGGCTTACAAGGGCTGTGTCAACACTTGTTTTTGATGTGCAATCCATCTTGAGTCAGCTTACAAGAGCTGTGTCAACAATTATTTTTAATGTGCAATCCATCTTGAAGAATCACTGATTCACTTGTATCAGGCATTCATTTCATGGATATAAACATGGCAAGAATAAGCCAATTAATTTCATTATAATATTATTCTGTTATCATCTGAGAGATACAGTAGTGAACAGCTAGTACTATTTAAATAGCATTCTAAAAAGTGACTGAGATTGATTGGGAAATGTAAACATTTAGACCACTATACATGTATGCCTTTTTATATGCCCACATCTCTCTATGAGGACGTATATTGTTGGCACCCATGTCCTTCGGTCGGTCCCTTGGTCTGTCGATCCGTCCATCCCTCAACATTTGCTTGTTAACGCTCTAAAAACTAGATTATTTGATGGAATCAAATGAAATTCATTATGCGTATACATATTTATAAAACGAAGATCAGGTTTGAATTTGAGCTATTTTCGACTGCTAGAAACAGAGTTATTGCCCTTGCCCCAAAATCTTGAATATGCTATTACTCTCTTAGTTTTCAACCGATTTTGATGAAACTTAAAATGGATGTTATTGGACCTAAATGGGAAGGTTTTAGAAAGTTCAGTTTACTTCTGATTAAATTTTCAAGATTTAGGCCTCTTACGTCAGTTTTGAGGAGTTATCGCCCTTTAACCTCTATACAGTAAGTGCTTCTATCAACATCAATTGCTCGTAAACACTCTATAAACTAGATTTTTTAATGGAATCAAATGAAATTCGGTATGTGTAGACATATTCATAAAACGAAGATCAAGTTCAAAGAGTTATTGCCCTTGCCCCAAATATTTACCATCCGCATGCTGTGGTGGGTGTATATGGCTGTGATCCACTATCTTTAGATATTAAAATGTTGTTTGCAGGCAAAGTGTTTGATATAAAGGCTAAGTGTGTGATTAATGCTACAGGACCTTACACTGACTCTATCAGACAAATGGGAGATCCAGATGTGAAGTATATTTGTCAGCCCAGTTCAGGGGTTCATATAGTCTTACCTGACTATTATAGGTAGGTCAAGTCAAACAAGATGTTTTTCTAGAAAGATTTCTGAGCTATCACCCCTAAAAGGTATTGTAACAAGATTTCTAAACTTTATGTGTATCAGGCACAAGTCACTAATAGCATTGATTTCCATTTTCTGTCAGAAGTTCCTGTGGTCTGTTAGCATGATGTATTGGTGAATATATTTATATTGTTTCCCAAATTGTGTTTTGATACTCGGCGATACTCTCTGATTCCAAAAAAAAATTAGTGAATAATATCAAAAATTTTTCTTTACTGAAATTGAAATCTACTATCAACTACAAATATACAAAATATCACAGTTACAAAGTAATGAATTAATGAATATTTTATTTGAAGTTAAAATGTTAATTGTTATCCTATTACACCATGATAAGAAATGAATGTTGTTTTTTCAGCCCAGAGAGTATGGGTTTATTAGATCCCTCAACAAGTGATGGCCGCATTATTTTCTTTTTGCCCTGGCAGAAGGTTACTATAGCAGGTAGATAAAATCATGTCCCTTGGTACACAATATTTTAAAAAAATGATCTTAGTACTAGGATATCCTAGAAAGAATGTTAGATATTAAGACTCTAGGACATCCTAGTACTAAGATTGTTTCTAGTATATGTGGCCTGGGAAGTTTCACTTAGAAATGTGTCAAGTTGTTAATTGAAAATCTGGACCTTTCATGCCACAAGCATGTGATTTATCCAATAATAGCGATTGATAGATTTTAGGCTTTAAATTGAACTGTCATCAGGGCAGTAGTGACTCATTTAGTAAGACTTGCTATCTGACCTAAGGGACCTAAAGTTCTAAACTTGTTTTCCCCATTGCCCCCTGAAAAAATGTGTCTATTTGTTTGGATGTGAAGTGGAGCCATCAAGTACTACAGGCTGCCTTTAATTAGTTGAAAATGGAAAAAGAATAAGTTAATGCAGCTTATTTTCCTTATTGCACACTTCATTGTGTCTCATCTTCATTAGCCTTAGGAGAAGTGAGAATATTAGATCTCCTGTTTAGTGAAAAGCACACAAATTTTGGAAAATCAGTTTCAATAAATTCAAAGCCTGTAAATTTCAGGAACCACTGATAACCCGTGTGCTGTGACAGACTTCCCCCAACCTACAGAGAAGGAGATACAGTTTATTTTGAATGAAGTGAGAAATTATCTGCATCCAGATGTCGAAGGTAAACTAGCATGTTTTATCCAATCATCATTCTGTGATACAAGAAAGGTGGCTATTGCAGTCAAGATATAAGTTCGTAATTGTGAAGATGAATCAAGAATTTGTTCCATTCATTAGTGAGATAAATTCAGCATTTACAGAGCTGCTGAGATTCTGAAATTTGTATGTGATTTGTCATGTGTGTCATGATATGAAACTCTTTAAAAATTGGATAAAAACCTTCGTATTTTTAGAATATTTTTGTATTTTTTTAATGTTAGTTCGTCGAGGAGATGTACTATCAGCGTGGAGTGGTATGAGACCTCTAGTAGCCGACCCTAATAAATCAGATACTCAGTCTATAGCCAGAAATCATATTATAGAGGTCTTCAAAGATAACCTCATAACTATAGCAGGTAAGACTGATATTATTTTATGGATCACATTGTGTAATTTTTTTTCAACATAGTTTCCTGCTATTAGTGATGTAAACTAGTGTCCAAAAGAAACGATACCAACTTATTTTCAAAATTGTTTTTTACTAAGTGAATTGTCTAATATGAAAACATGCCAATTTGTATTGCACATCCCAAACACAGCATAGTCGATAAAAATACCGGGAACACGTGATCACTTCCGGGAAAAAAAAAGTGACATTTCCCTCTCTAGCATGTTCTGCACGTGCATAAAAACTGTATAAAATGGCTGATCAGACACGTTGATATCACAGCAACAAAAAGAACACAAGATATGCCACGTTTGACAGCCATCGAGAGAGAGAGAGCCGTTGGAATGGTCCAACAAGGAGCGACACACGTCGACGTCGCCAAAAGGTTGGGCTGCGCACGCATCACTATCACCAGGTTGATGCAGCGGTTACGTCAGACAGGTCAGACGTCAGACAGGCCCAGGAGTGGAAGACCACGAGTAACCACGCCCCGTGAAGATCGTTACATCCGGGTATTACACCTGAGGAACCGCACCTTAACAGCGACGTCCACGGCGGCTACAGCACTGGGACACATGATCAGTCGACAGACCGTCTACAGGAGATCACGGCAGTATGGTATCCGGCCACGTCATCCCTACCGCGGACCGCTCCCGACGCCTCGACACCGGAACAACAGACTGATCTGGGCCAGGCGAGTTCGACGTTGGCAACGGCGGGACTGGGCACGTGTTACGTTCTCTGATGAGAGCAGATTCCTCATCTTCAAAAATGATGGACGGCAGCTTGTATACCGACGATTTGGTGAACGTTTGGCGCCTAACTGTATCCAACAGGTCCGGCCGTTTGGAGGTGGAGGGTTAATGGTTTGGGGTGGCATATGCGGTGACGTCAAAACGAGGCTTGTCGTGGAAACCTGAATGCACAGCGTTATATTGATGACATCCTACAGCCTGTTGTGGTGCCCTTTATTCAGCAACAGCCTCGTGGACTCCTTTTCCAACATGACAATGCAAGGCCACACACAGCAAGATTGAGACAGAACTTCCTTGCCAACACCAACGTACAGGTTTTGCCATGGCCCGCATGTTCACCGGACATGAATCCCATCGAGCACTTATGGGACCACCTCGATCGGCAAATCCGACGTCGCCGTGTGCCTCCAGTCAACGTCCAGGACTTGGAACGATGTCTCCTCGAGGAATGGCAACGCATCACTCCCAACGTCATCATACGTTTGACGGCATCAGTCCGTAGGCGTGTTCTGGCATGTATTGATGCTCACGGTGGACATACCCGCTACTGACTTGACTTTGTGACGTGTGGTGTGACATTTCCCGTGGTTTCTGTGATCAGTGCTCTAACGAAATGTTCTTTTTTCGACCCCACCCATCTTTAAAGGCTTGTCATATTGGTTGAACAGATTTTATTGAAATGAAATTTTTGTACAGATGTTGTGAAAGGATTTCTCAAAAGCATAACACCAATCCTAAACTTCTGCATTGTTTAGTTTTTCTTTTATGTCGTTGCAAACAGGTGGTATCGTTTCTTTTGGACACTAGTTTAGTTTAAAGAGGCTGACATGGAAAACGCATTTAAATAGGACAAAAAATGGAGTCCCTGAATGGATAATTACATGGACTATGTTTATACTCAAATGCTGCTTTCCTGTCAAATTTCCCTCATTGCACACTGCATTGTAGTTTATCTGAAGCATTCAAGTAGGACATCAAATTTTCTTTTACTAGGTGGAAAATGGACAACTTATCGACATATGGCTGAGGAAACTATAGATAAAGCTGTAGAAGTGTGTAATTTACAGCCGAAGTCTAACTGTCAAACTGCTGGTCTGTTATTAGATGGTGCCCATGGCTGGTCCCCCACCATGTTCATTAGGCTAGTCCAAGATTTTGGACTGGAAAATGAGGTAAGAAATTTGTTATTTTGTGATTTTTGTGTTATTAATACAGTCGGGTCTTGTTAAACAGATCCCCCACAATCTGGGAACGAAAAATTATTTTGCTTTTCGCATGGCTGTGATTGTCAGTCAATTGTGGAACAGCATTATGATCCAAAACTGTATGTTTACGGATCCTCCAAGCTAACTATTTCAAAATCAGAAGAATTAAAAAAAAACAACTTTCATCCATTCATCATCTCATTATTAATCAAATATATTATTTAATTAAATCAATTCTGAGAAAACATCAATCCTGGCTTTCATAAAAATTCTACTTTCCTCCTAGAAAATGAATTAATTTTTATCTTATCTTTCCTGATTACATTGTTTTCAAAGTAACTAATTGAATTTCTGTAATGTGTTTCAGGTCGCTCAACATTTAGCCAACACATATGGAGATAAAGCTTTCAAGGTCGCAAAGTTAGCCAATCTGACTGGCCAAAGATGGCCTGTTGTGGGGAAAAGATTACATCAAGAATTTCCTTATATTGAAGCTGAGGTAGGGTGAAAATCAGTCAGGGTTTTCTTACTTCTATTTTTCATTCCTTGTTTGATAAGACTCTGGAATGACTGATCACATGTTTTTTGTGGTTTATATAATCATAAGGGATAACATCTAGCATATTACTAATAATAAAGATATAATGGCTTACTCAAGCAATTTGCATATCTTTTTAGAATGGATATCGTGCATCTTGTTTGTCTGCAATTAAAAACGTACTGACATTGTGCAGTTAATATTGATGATACACTAACAGTAATATCAGTATAAGAGGATGTTAGTTATTGCAACATTGACCATTAAAATGTTTGACAAGATTATACATGTGGTGCTCACTAGCACCTTCCTGATTCACAAATACAATCTATTTGAAACTTTGTTTCCCTTTTGTTTATATAAGCTTTTATTTTTACTTAACACTCCAGTTAAGATCTAACAAATTCTCTCTATAACTTTCATACTGATTCATAACACTACCAGCCAATCACATTTTATGTCTCTCAAATGGGATTATGTCACAGGAACAATAGTAATTTAAATTAGACTATGTCTACCTCTATTTATGATGTAGAATGTCTATGTTTATATTGTGTAGGTACGCTATGCCTGTAGAGAGTATGCAACCTCTGCTATAGATGTTATTGGTAGAAGAACTAGACTTGCCTTCTGTAACGTACAGGCTGCAGAGGAATCTCTACCAAGAATTATAGAGATGATGTCAGAGGAACTAGGTTGGAATAAAGCCAGACAACAGGTTGGTTGAATAAAATTAGTGTTAGGTATTGCCAATCATGCCATAATACGATACGTATCGTGGAACAAGAGTCATGATATGATATGTATAATGATACAGAATAATAGGGATTAAAATTAATATTTTACCTTTCAAGCAACTATGATATTTGGTAATGTAGTTGATAGGCATTGTAGTTTTGTGGCATATGATATTCAGCTACATCAATTTACCAACAGAGTTTTACACCCTAGTTTAGAAAGTATATAGATTTTTAATTAAATTGTTTTTATAAGACTTGCCATGCTGTGTACAGCACAGAACAAGAACTGCATCAAAAAACTCACAACCCTTAGATCATAGGGTTTGAAACCTACCAGTTGTTAAAAATCTGTCTGACCACTGGTTGAAGACACATTAATTTCAGCCCCCTTTCCGTATCTACTATTTGTATGCCTATTTATTACATTTTTAGGAAGAAATGGAGAAAGTGAAGAGATTTTTACGTCGAGAAATGGGACTAGATATTAAACGAGCCAGCGAAAGTCAAGTACCCATCAATTTCAGCAAGGATGAGATCAACATGTATGTCAAACGATTCAATTCCTTAGACAGTGACAATAAGGGATATATTACCATTAATGATCTTCGCAGATACTTCAAGGTATGCTTCCCCAAAATTTTGAATCTTATTAAGACATGCAGGAATTTGGAGCTAGTTTCAGATATTTAACTTGTATTAAGTATTTCAGTTTTTGAATTTAGCTTCTCTTATCCTCAAAAGCTTAACTTAGCACCATTTTACATTTCCAGTCATCTGATTAGTCAATCACTAAAATATATTATATTACTTTGTCCAATCAGGATACCTAGGTTTATCATAGCTAAGTTTTCAAGAATAAGGCCCCATAACTTTAGGATAACTGTAAAGCCTTATAATTTTATGACAAGAGTATTAAGATCTTCGATTGGTTGAAGCAATTGAGTGATATTTTTGGACAATCAGATTTCTTGAAAAAATTCAATTGGCCTTGACCACTGTTTTGCCTAAAATCACAAGTGATCAGGGTTGTTGATATGGTAGCATTTGCCAGTCATAAAGATGATATCTTAAATGGTTTTAAGTCATTTGTTTTTAAAATATGCCTGTATGGTCTGAATGGTTGATTTTTTCGTTGTTCCCCAAAAAATCATTTTTGAGTCTTTTTTTTGAATTCTTAGAGAGATATGATGATGAATATCAGAAATTGAATGAATATGCATTATTTAATTCCTAACAAATTTAATAGGGTTGCATTTCAGTTTACATGTCATGTTCAAATAACATCACATAGAACACTATTTACATATAAACTATTGATCTCTAATTGTTTGCAATACCATGACCGAGTTCAACATCAGCTATCTGTAGGACTCATCAGAATGAAAATCTAACTTCGGTTCCTCTACAATTACATGAACTGTAAAAATGGACTAAATGTTTTATGCTATTGACAGCTTTTGTTGTCACTTATTGATTTGTAGACTAGTGGAGTGTCAGAATTCCCTTCTGAAAAGTGAAACAGATAGCTGAAATCAACCTTAAGATTTGATTAGATGACTAGATCCTTTTATTGACAAGAAATTTGTTAGTTAAGCAGGTCAAAGGGGCTGACATAGAAAAGGCATCTAGTCGTTCGAATGGGACAATTAACTGATACCTCTTGTCAGTTGAAGATCCTTTGACAGTTGGAAATTGAAAATGAGTAGGCTAATGCTACTGCCTGGCAAAATTTGCTACATTGCGTAGCATTGTTGGTCTTCATTCCATGCCTTATAAGAGATTTAAATTGCCAACAATTAAACTTGCTTCACTATCATTGCCCTATATGTATGTTACAAATTTTAAACCTTAACCATTACTATTCAGAAGATTAGTTGAAATTGTCAAAATGAGAATGATTTATGAATTAAACCAGAAATTCAATGTTTTGCCTGTTTATATTTCAGAAGCAGGTATTTGTGACTTTGATTTTTGACTTATAACAATTTGTTTTAGTGGTTTTAATGTAGTTTTTCTTTTTCTCATTATGTTTATAAAAAATATTAGTCTATGAGTAACTCACTTTTCTAGCTATATCTTTCTCTATATTCTTCAAATTGGGATGGATTTTAACATTGGTTAAGACAGTACAATATAAGTACTTTGCTACAGGCTGTACACATTGATGACAGTTGGAAATCAAAAAGACTATCCTGATGATGTCTGTTCAGGGATCATTTTAAGCAGTATCACATAGCAGTTAGCGATATAACCCCTTTTTCCAACCAATTTTTCCTATGATTAGCCAAAATTAAAATTTATCACGACGATTTCTGAGTCAAATAAAATTGTATATTTTTCGTTAATTTTTTTTGTCAAATCTAGTAATATAAATGGCAACTCATGCCAGTCTTTATATCCTTAAGAAATTAACGTCATTGGTAATATCAATCTAATCTTCCAATGTTCAAATGCGAATCAAAATTTAACTTGATTAGCCAAAACTGAAATTTGCTATGATCAATTGCTAATCATTCTGAATTGAACCCTATGAGTGTATATCAGAAACGTATGCCAACAGCTTAAGATGAGCTGTTTTTCAACATCCATATCTATATAAAACAGCATTTAAAGTTGACCAATTTACTTGACTTATATATTATGAAATATCTATATTACAGTCCCAAAGGATTGTAAAAACTTAAAAGGAAATTTAAAAAAACCAATGGATGTTTTTGAAAGAGATAAAAGCAAATGAAGTTCACAAAACAGTGTTTCTCCCTGTAGTGTAAAAACTAAAAAGCTGTTTTTTACTGAGCTTGCACACACTTTCCTTTTAACACAGCTCAGTCAGAAATGTTTTAAATGCTTGGGGCACACTAACTGTTGCTAACGACACGAATCTTGAAATTAGCCCGCGCTACCACAACACGATTATCATGTTTCTGACAAGATTTTGAACATCAAGCCAGCTTGATTTTTTGTTTGTATTTTTTTTTCTCGTTGGTTAATGACGTGACAAGATTCCACAGAACGTCATCTTCAAATCAGAGTCGTTCTATATTATTTACTGTTGAATTTCACACAACATTACACACAACATCACAAAGTATTGAGAAATCTTCTGTCTCCTCATGTGTGCAACTGGGCTGTGAAACGCTTGACAGGACTCTGGTCTGCGTCAAAAATTGCTAATTAAAACCGTTCATGTGCCCCAAGCATTAGTGAAATTTTCTATTTTCAATAAGAAGAGCACAAAATGAATGTAGATGATGGCTGGGTGTAGTGTTATTTTCTTCTATTCAAAATTTGATAATACTGGGTGTGATTAACAACAAATAATGTCTTAGAATTAACCTCTACCAGTCTAAATTCTCAAAATGAAGATAGAACTAATTCACAGTAAAAAAAAAATGATTCCAACAAAATGCACTTTAACCAAATTTTACATATTTTAACTCATTGTAAGGGATGCTGTCAGCTCAGATAACATAGTCCTAATACCTTAATCACTTTTCAAAAAACAAATCTTGCTACAGTTTCATCTTCAATGAAATTAAAAAGAATGTACTATCGCTAAAAATTGATGTAATGAAAATAACAGCCTGCTGGTTCTATTTAATTCTAGAACTGAGCAATAGATTTATAATCTGAAAAGTGACACAGTTGGTTGAAATTCAGCTGATAAGCAATATCTGTATATCCAACTGGCCATTTGTTATTTTGATTAAGATTATTTTCAATTTTTCAATTGTAGCTTAATATAAACAATAAAACTAAAATATTTGAAGGATTTTTTTGACAACACTTAACCCTTTATTGAACACTTCTGCATGCACTTCATCAGTTTTGATATGATACAGTGTTTGCAAGTATTCCTTTATCAAATTAAGGGTGTTTATGTCTTTGTAAAATTATTTTATTCAATTTTCTTAACTGCTTTCATTTATTAGCATTCCTTAGGCTTATTGCTTGGTGTTTATGGATCTTGCTACATTTTCCAAGTTTTGTATCTACCCAGTGATAAAGGAAAAATTATTAATTGCAGAAAATTGGTGAAAAGGTAACAGAGGATCAGTTGCATGAGATTTTAAATGAAGTAGATTTGAATAGAAATGCTCAAGTTGAAATGGGAGAATTTTTACAGGTACAATTTCATTTCTTCATTCCATTAATTTATTGCTCCGTCCGTCCACATTTCTTGTAGCTTTATACAATTGTATTGGTAAACAAATAGTATGCATGTATATATTAATTAGATCTTGGTTAAGTTTGATTTTGGTAATTATCAGAAAAACGGTTTTTAAGTTATTTCCCCTGACTTTATAGAAACATTTCAAATTTGGGTTGTAGAGGCTACAGTTTTTATCCGATCTTGATGAAACTTGGTATGTATATTTTGATAAGATGTCAGACAAGTTCGAATTTGGTAATTATCGCAAGAATGGTTTTGGGATATTGCCCTTGAGTGTTAAATTTGGATTGTATCCACAATAGAGGCTACAGTTTTTATCCGATCTTGATGAAACTTGGTATGCATGTATATATTGATGAGATCTCAGTCGAGTCTGAACTTGATAATAATTGGATGAACGGTTTTAGAGTTATTGCCACTGTGTGTGCGCCGATGAAACCTTGATAAACCGTTTTTGAGGTTTTACCTTGACTCTTGATTATTTAAAAATTCATTATTAATCCACTTTAGATTTTGTTATCATTTCTGACAGTTAGTAGTAGGTGTATGTTACCTTGCCTGGCAAGCTATCTTTTTTTATTCTTCCAAGCTTATCTTTATTAATCCATTTCATTTATTCATTCATTTTTGTTCTTGTAGTTGATTTTTATTTTGTCACAATTATGCTATGCATTTGTTGGTAATTGTGTGGTAATAAAGTATTCTCTGTATTTAAAATCTGAGTTTCAAAGGATAAGATTGTGTTTTGGTTTTGTGATGTAGGTTTTAGAGTTTCTTCGACCTTGCCATAAAAGCATAGTACAAGGCATCTTCACAATGTCATACTTCGTCTTATACCATGACTGCAATAACCATTATTCTTGAATCACAGTATGCACTGATTTGATTGGAGTGTACTCCATCAAATACAAACAATCAGAGCCCTCGATGAGAAGACTTAAGAGACTTTTCGTAGGTATAGTATCTTGCCTTGACAATGAAAAATCGTTTTATTTTTCAGTTGATGAGTGCATTAAAATCAGGTGTATTAACCAATAATCGATTAGCTAAGGCCTCAGAATTACCTGATGAAGATAGAATACCTGTAGAAAGAAGTGGCGGCGGAGTCTAAGACATTGGGGAGCAGTCTAAGAAATGGAGAGGAGTCTAAGAAATCTGGAGGAGTCTAAAATGACTGACAATGCATCTGCCCACTGATGTTGTTGAATCACATTTGACAGTTTTGTTTGAAAGAATTGAAATATCAGCATCATTTTTTTGAGATTTCCTTTTTTTGAGAATAAATTTGTTATGGACTCAAACTTCAAAGAAAAGTACACAACCTTAGAAAATTTTGTTTTGAATATTTGTGAATTATGAGACCAAAGTGAATTCAGTAATGACAGTGGTTGCAGAGTATAACTGAAAATTGTACAGCCTAGCCTATTTCATCTTTTGTAACAAAATGAAATCAATTTCCATGTACGTTGTGCATCAAGGTTAGATATTGTCAGATTGACTCATATACTCAATGGATCCTGAAACCTAGGTCCTGTTTCATAGATATCTTAAGATTAAATTTATTGTACAGAGAGTATGTAAAATTCAATACTTACATCAAATTCTTATCGTAAGATTTTTTTGTTAAAGGGACCTAGGGTCTAATGCCATTTATTTATAACAATCGCAAGTAATTAGATGCCATATTTCTGTTACTCGTTTACAAACTTGTATTATATATTACAGGGATTCAAATTGAGCACATCAGTTATATGCTATCATTAAGGTCCAGTTAAATTTCTAGGGGTCCAGTCGAGTTTTGAGGGGCCCAGTTAAATATTTACACATAGAGGTCCATTCATTTTTTAGGGGCTCAATCAAATTTTCATGGTCCAAGAGAATATAAATGTTAACATTTACAAAAATTGATTTAATATATATAATATTTTATTATAAGGTGTTGTGGGATTGAGAATACATAACAATTTTTGAACTGGACGATTTCTAATTTGAACTCCTGTATTATGTATATTTACTCACCTGTATATCGTAATTTGTATTTTTGTGTTTTGGATATCTTTTATTCCAATATGTTTTGAAATCTCAAAAAATACACAACAGAATTTTCAAAAGTTTTGTTTCATTTATAGATTGTTTTTCTAGATTTTGGTATTTAAATTTGTTAAGTTTTCAGATATTTAAGTTAAAGTAAATATATCATTTATTCTCATTTCACAACTTCAAACCACAAACCTCATTTAGTTTAATGTTTTATATTTTTATTGACCTGCATTATTCAAATATTTCTGTTATTTCTATTCTTATTTACCTAATATAGCAAGAAAAAGTTTGCCACTCTCAACTATATATCAGTATTTATCACTCAAATTGAAGTAAAATGGAATTTTTTATTAAGCCTTTGTGCAAGGTACAGAGATGCACTCTCCTCTAAATATCAATATTTATCAAACAAGTTCAATAATGTCATTTTTAGGAATTTGGCATGATAAAGATGTCCAAATATTGCATTGGTTTTGGTTGAGTAAAATCATAAAATTATTTGAATGCATTTATTGCTAACTGACTGCCATCATGATTCTAAAGGACAACTTTGAATGATATTATCAAAGCGTTGTAAGGATCAGCAAAAGATCTGATTTTCATTTGTATTTTGATCAATTTTTTAAGTAACAAAGTTTTGCCTCATTTATTGTCTATTTTTTCATATTCTGTAGCATTTTGTCACTTTTTTGTAAAATATCTTTTTAATAAATGTTATTATTTTCTCGAACAGAGCATTTTGTGTAACATAATAACTAGAACAGGAATTCATTTTTACAAGAATTAGTAGTAGTCTGACTCCTTCAGTGGAGAAATTGATTGTCGTCTGACTTTCAAAGGGGAAGCAACCAACAATTTGTTTTGTTGAAGATTGACAGTGAACAGCTGGTTGTTCATTTTCGAGAAAGCAGTCCAGATTGAACTAGAAATAAGGTAAAAAATAAAAATGTCCATGTCAGTGACTATAAATCCTTGTTTAAGTGAATAAGTTTTCACATGCTTGAAATCAAGTAGGCCTACATTCCTGCTTACTATGGTTTCTATATACCTGTAGGGCCTACCGAAATGAATGAAGGTAGGCTAACTATACTTGTTTGTTTTGAAGTTTTGTATAATACGGTGCAGGTTAATAATAGCATTTTGTGGATATACCTCAGACAATCACTAGTATGGCGAAAAAAAAATTACACAAATTTCTACTTACATTAATATAAGTACAAACCATGCCCCCTTTTCAAAAAGATATAAGACCTTGGTTCACCTTATCCAAATAGATTTTTAGTAGGAATGGAATATAATTTTGTATGAGAAAATATATAAATCATGAGTTTCATGTGTATGCAGATTTAAAAATCATTTCACATCATGAAAACTTATTATCTGTCCCAAATATCAGGTTTCCGCTATAGTGAAACAAGTTAGTTAGACGTTATGGTTGAAATATATATAGCTGTCAATGGCAGCAACAGTTTATACATGGCAGACATAAATATGTTGTGCTTGTGAAGAACCTCATTACTTTAAAAGCATAATCATAAATTCCAGTTTTTCAAGGAAGTATTTGTTCCAGTTCCTGTACAATCAGGAGAATCAAATCGTCCCAAAATACAGAATGTCATATATATGTATATATATATATAGGCCAATATATATTTGTGCAGAACAAATTGGGCCAAATTGTGTGGTACCTGATACAAATATTGGCATTTACAACAACTGTTGAAATGAGTATATTAAGGCTGTATTTAGGTCCACACTTAAATTCAAGTTGAACTAATTTGGTTATTATAGCTAGGTCAATAGTTTGACATTTAGACAGTTTGAGGAGTTTGAAAAGGGGATCATAAATCTGGAGGGTACATGAACTTTGTATTCCTCATTAGTTTTTGGAAAATGGACAGCTCAGGGCTGATTATAATTTAAATTGTTCTATTCAGTCTGGCAATATTCTCAGACATGAAAAGACAGTAGAAAAAACAGTAGGGATTTATAGAAGAAGGGAGGTAATGCAAAATGATCAAGGATCTTGAAAGAAGTAATGGAAAGAAAAATCATAAAATGCATGCAATTCTACAGAAGGAGCAATAAAATGCCAATAAATTCTCGAATATTTTAACTTCATTATCAGTTTCTAACATCTAACATGAATTCTTTTAGCCATAAAGAACTGTTCTTGGAACAATGATGGGTTTCAGATTGATAAAAACTTACACTCAGACTTCACATAAACCTAAAACTTTTTACTCAACACTCATATTGTAATAGTATACTGAGTAATATATTATATCCTGCTGACATTATAAATATGTTTATTCATGAAGTAATTACTATATTTTCACTTGCTGTATACTGTCACAGATAGCCATTCATTCAGAACCTCCATTTATATTAGATATATTTATTGAACATTGTTGACTCATTTCTGTTGTCTGTGTTTTATTTTATTATCTCCATGTGAGATCTGGATTTGAATGACAACATTGATACAGAGCACAAACTATTTTTTTATGACAATTATCTGACTGACCTGATTATTGGGACATCTATGATACATTCAAACCATAGCACATTGATTGTTATATTTTGTGCTAAAATTTTGTGGCTCTGTGGTCACAATTTAAAGTAGCTTTCTTTATGTGACAACTTGATACTGTTTTGTGACTATTTGGTCACTGTTTGATAACTGTTTTGTGACATGTTTTGTGACTATTTGGTCACTGTTTGATAACTGTTTTGTGACTATTTGGTCACTGTTTGATAGCTGTTTTGTGACATGTTTTGTGACTATTTGGTCACTGTTTGATAACTGTTTTGTGACATGTTTTGTGACTATTTGGTCACTGTTTGATAACTGTTTTGTGACTATTTGGTCACTGTTTGATAGCTGTTTTGTGACATGTTTTGTGACTATTTGGTCACTGTTTGATAACTGTTTTGTGACATGTTTTGTGACTATTTGGTCACTGTTTGATAACTGTTTTGTGACTATTTGGTCACTGTTTGATAGCTGTTTTGTGACATGTTTTGTGACTATTTGGTCACTGTTTGATAACTGTTTTGTGACTATTTGGTCACTGTTTGATAACTGTTTTGTGACATGTTTTGTGACTATTTGGTCACTGTTTGATAACTGTTTTGTGACTATTTGGTCACTGTTTGATAGCTGTTTTGTGACATGTTTTGTGACTATTTGGTCACTGTTTGATAACTGTTTTGTGACATGTTTTGTGACTATTTGGTCACTGTTTGATAACTGTTTTGTGACTATTTGGTCACTGTTTGATAGCTGTTTTGTGACATGTTTTGTGACTATTTGGTCACTGTTTGATAACTGTTTTGTGACATGTTTTGTGACTATTTGGTCACTGTTTGATAACTGTTTTTTGACTATTTGGTCACTGTTTGATAGCTGTTTTGTGACATGTTTTGTGACTATTTGGTCACTGTTTGATAACTGTTTTGTGACATGTTTTGTGACTATTTGGTCACTGTTTGATAACTGTTTTGTGACTATTTGGTCACTGTTTGATAGCTGTTTTGTGACTAGTTTGGAACTATTTTTTGAATATTCGATCACTTTTTTTTGTGATGTTTTGATTACTATATTCCATAAAATGGAATCCATATACAATCTGTTTGGAACAGTCAATAAGAATTCAAAACAGCTTTGTAAAAGCATTTCTTTGACTTTGGAATAGATCATCGATGATTGAAACATCAAATCAAACAGAAAGCCTCTGTATGAAGGTTGAGTTTTAATGTAAAGAAATGTGATGTATTTACAGGAGGTGTTTTGGGTAGTGATAAATGGAGACTAGTGAGAGTGAAGAAGAAGAAGACACTATTTACTATACACCAGAAGGTACGTCAATTTCTTTGCTTAATGGGATATGAAAAAGGGACACTTAAAATGAATGTGAAATATTTCTACATGAATATTTTTTTTACCTCAATCCCTTATACAAGATTTACCTGCTAAAGTGAAACACAGTAAAAATTTTGAAAAGTTCTGATATGTTAGAATTTCAAAAACACAAATATAATCATGAACATATTTACAAAAACAATCAAAGGACAAGAAATGGGTAAAATTATACTGTGACCCAAGACATTGAAAAACCGACCTGTTTTTTCAGTTGATTTCTGCATTTGTCATCAGTATTCTATAGACTAAACAATTTATACAGAAGCAAATAATAACCAACTATGGCTAAATTATGTTCAAATTAAACTTGTGTAGTAGGGCCATTAACATTATTATATATATCAAGTCATACATGAATAACTATTAACCAGCAGAGCATGTTATAGATATATGAATAACAAGTATACTCTAGCAATGGTGGTTTTAGCTCTGTGTCAGTCTGTGTCAAAAACTTAATACTGTCAGTTGGTTGTTTCCAATTTTTGCCAGTGACTTAATGTGTTTTTTTTTTTGGTTACCGGTACTTTTAAGATTAAGATATATATTCTAAGTGTATAAATAAAGTTCATGAACTTTTGCTTAAATGATTGACTGGATAACCATTTCTAGCTACAATGATAGACATATCTGGTTACAGTGATAGACATTCCTGGTTACAATGATAGACATATCTAGTTACAATGATAGACATTCCTGGTTACAAAGATAGACATTTCTGGTTACAATGATAGGCATTCCTGGTTACAAGGGTAGATTTTTCTGGTTACAAGGAATGTCTTTCTGGTTACAAGGATATCCCTTTCTAGTTACAATGATAGACATTGCTGGTTACAAGAATAGTCATTTGTGGCTACAAGATTGTCATTTCTATTTACAAGAAAATCATTTCTGTTTTCATGAATCATTTCCGGTTACAATGAATGCCATTTCTGGTTACAAAAATAGCCATTTCTAGTTACAAGGATAGACATTTCTGGCTGGCCATCCCAGTGACATGGACAGACACAAGATTGCCATTTTGGGTTGTAAGGGATAGTCATGTCTGGTTACAAGGATAGTCATTTCTGGTTACATGAATAGATTTGTGGTTACATTGATAGCCATTTCTAGTTACGAATACAGACATTCCTTGATTGTACCTCAGTTTTAAAAATAGATGTTCGGTAATTCTATTTCAGATAAGACCTTGTTAAAGTGTAAGACAAGACACAGAAGTCATGAGTTTCAGATAAAGGAAAATAGAGTGAATCAAAATTGTCTACATGTAAGTAAGACTACATACATACATGGTTAATTTTCTGTCTTTATTGAATGTTTCATTGTAATTGCATGCTCTAAGTAAAACATTGTTACAATTCCTTATGTTATATAAAACAATTTAAGATATTGTAAGTTTGCTAAACTTGTGTATCAGGAACACTGATAACATCAATCTCCATCATTCCAATTTTCAGTCACACTTCTTGCAATTCCACTAAAACTAAGCATATGATGTCACTAAAGCTGTTATATAAACTAAGATCTTTGCGATAGTAATGTCATAAACACAATGGATTAGTGGAATTGCAGGAACCACAGCCATCTGACTAAAAATTGGAATGGTGTAAATCAATGCTTTCAATGTTCTGGATACACATAAAAAGAAAAACTCTTTACCACCCGTTTAAGTAAATGCTTTTTTTTTCAGAAAATAATGGGAAACTCAAACTTTCCAACGTGTGTATATTATATTTTGGGCAGTGAGTTTTGTGAACGATTCAGTTATTATGGTTTAAGAAGTAAGTCATGATAATATTTTTTACACAGTAGCAATGTGCTGATATATTTCCGTTATTGTGTAAACTATTCCCTTATCAATAAATAGATCAGACCATGGTTCACTTTATCCAAATAGCTTCATATTTACAAAATAAACAGAAAATAGAAGTGTTTGTTAGTCAATTTGAATCACATGACATCATGAATGTTTATTACCTTATACTAGGTTTGATTGCTAAAGAGAAACACAGTAGAAATCAACAGCCTTTTAGTATGATAGGCTTGGCTATAATGATTTAAACAATATTATTCTACTGCTTTTACTCATGAAATTGGAAACAAGCTATGGCTTATGCTAATCTGTCATCCAGCCTAGAAAATAAAGTTAAATCAACACCCTAGACAGAATAGGATGTAAAACTCCATTTCATATCATTTCAGCCATATTGGTTATCTATTTAACAAAATGGCTGCTATACAGTAGTGACGATGCTACCATTATTTACCATTCTTTCTGTATGTTATGTTATCTCTCTCCGCTTCTTGGTGCCATCATTGCAGATGGATATCTTGGAAGATACAAGTAAGTGTGACTAGAGAATAGAAATTATTGAAAAATAAATCTTTTAACTTGTTGACTCTATATCTGGTTTGTGGTTTTCTAAATATTTGTTGACTCTATATGGTGTTTTTAGAAAATATTCATATGTGGTTTTCTAAAAACTTGTAGACTCTATGTGGTCTTCTAAGAGCTTGTTGACTGTATATGTAGTGGCTAGCCTGAATCTGTATTTTGTGACAATGTGGGTGAATTTGAGTACTCAAGGGAAATTTGTAAGAATTAGAAGCCTGCAAACGCCATTTCATGCCATCTTAGACATTTTCTAATGAAATGTCATCATTTTTTAGTGATGAATCAGTGCTATGAGGATAAAAGAGATAAAAGAGAAGAGTTTCTGTATGTCACCCCCTATCTCCTTGCCAACCCCTCCATTGTTAATATAGTATCTTGTTGTTATAGGACTATTATGTATTTAAGTATAGTATATGCCATTGGTAATATAGTGTTATCATTAACTGCTCTACCACCAACAGAAGTGTAAGTACCATCACACATTTACTACTCAAAATATAAACAATCCCTTGGGATGAAGATGAGGGACAATATTGGCTAATAATAAGCCGATTTCTCAATTCCTTTTAGATACTGAGTAAAGTATTGTTTATTATAAACAAAAGAGTCTGTCAAAATTTATTTTTTATTGCTATGATGTTCTCTAGAATACACAGTTCTCATGGTATGTTAAAGGGATTATAAGAAGGTTAACTAAACTTTTTATGTGTATTGAATACATTGATTTATCTAAAACTGCGTTTCCACTGACAATTGTGAAGGAAAGCTAGCTCTAAGCTTTTATTACGTAGCTATCATGTAAGCTGCTATTGTTATACTGTAAGACAATAGCACAGTGATAGTGACTAAAGCGTATTTTATGTGGATTTGCAAGAATCACAGATGTTCAGCTGAAAATTGGAATTGATGCCATCAGTGTCTAGAAAACCTGTTTACTTATTGCCTTATTTGATCTGGGCCCTGATTTAGGCCTGGACATTTTATTCCTTTTTCTCAAATGGCATTAACATAGGATATTAGTTTTTGTTTTTATACGCCCACATGAAATGGGGGGCGTATATTGTCGTCACCCATGTCCGTCGGTCGGTCCGTCCGTCCGTCCACAATTGCTCGTAAACACTCTATAGGGCACAATTTTTGACGAATTTTAACGAAACTTAGTATTTGTGTTCGCAATCACCCAAGGATAAACCCTATTGAAAATCAGCGAAATCGAAAAATATTTAGCATGAATTATTGCCCTTGTTAATTTTTAGCTCCTAAACACTCTAGAAGGCACAATTCTTGACAGATTTTGACGAAACTTGGTATGAGTGTTTGTAATCACCCAAGGATAAACCCTATTGAAAATCAGCGAAATCGAAAAATATTTAGTATGAATTATTGCCCTTGTTCTTGCAAACGCGTTCAATTTTTAGCTCGTAAACACTCTAGAAGGCACAATTCTTGACAGATTTTGACGAAACTTGGTATGAGTGTTCGTTATCACCCAAGGATAGACCCTATTGAAAATCAGTGAAATCGAAAAATATTAAGTATGAATTATTGCCCTTGTTCTTGAAAACGCGTTCAATTTTTAACTCGTAAACACTCTAGAAGGCATAATTCTTGAAGGATTTTAACGAAACTTGGTATGAGTGTTCGAAATCACCCAAGGATAAACCCTATTGAAAATCAGCGAAATCGAAAAATATTTAGTATGAATTATTGCCCTTGTTCTTGCAAACGCGTTCAATTTTTAGCTCGTAAACACTCTAGAAGGCACAATTCTTGACAGATTTTGACGAAACTTGGTATGAGTGTTCGTTATCACCCAAGAATAAACCCTATCGAAAATCAGCGAAATCGAAAAATATTAAGTATGAATTAATACCCTTGTTCTTGAAAACGCGTTCAATTTTTAGCTCGTAAACACTCTAGGAGGCACAATTCTTGACTGTCATAATAGTAAAATTCAATTCTTTTCTTGTCCTTATTAGCCAAGACAGCTGCAATCAAGTATACTTACAAATCCATTGCATTTCATGCAAACTAACTAAATCTTCGAGAAAAAAAATGTTAGGATATAAAAAGATTAAATTCAACAGGAGAAAAAAGGTGGTAAATATTAGCAACTCCCACCTGTCATAAACTCGATACATAAAACTTCTAAAAAAATATTTCAACCTAATTTGCTTGAATATAATCTGCAAATACACAATTCATGACAGACTTATTGAAATCACCCAAGGATAAATCTGATCAAAAATCTTGTAAAACACGTAATTTTTATTCTACAAAGCAGAAGTCTAAAACAAATTTGACAACTTGATGAAATTGATCACAATCAAAACTAAACCTTTTGAAATATAAAATACAAGTTTTTGCCGTTATTCTTACAAATGTGTTTGATTTTTAACTTGTGATGGCACAGTTTGTGATGGATTTGGGTATAAGTTGAATATTTCCTGGTGTCTATGTTTGCTATTTTCTAACAAATATTCAATTTCAAACAAAGCTATCAGTGGGCGTATATTACCTTGCCTGGCAAGCTATCTTTATTATAGATATGGTCCTATTATTGGTTTGATATTAATAGGGATAGGAACTGGAGGAATCAAACCATGTGTATCAGCTATGGGAGGGGATCAGTTCTCTTCAGATCAGGTAATATACTAGTGTTCAAACAGTTACTAGATAGCCTGTTGAAATCCAGCAATATTATCTTAGGCATAGGAACATTAATCAGCGTCAATAACTTTTTTGGGTGTCAATTTTGATCTTTCTTGGTCTATTTTAAGTATTCTTGGTTCATTGTGGCTAAGTTGCCTAATCTGGATCTATTGATAGAAAATGTGTTTTTTGTAGGTGAAAGAAAGATTGGCGTTTTTCTCCTTATTTTACTTTATGATTAACTTTGGGAGTATGTTATCAACAGTTATTTCCCCTGTTCTACGAGGTTAGTACTAAGCTGTATCCAATACCTCTCAAACAAATGAAATTAGAATGTTTCCCAATAGGAAATGGAATCCAATACTACTAAAATGAAAATTACAAACTTTGTACTTATACCTTAACTGCAATAGCCACCTTTCTTGCATCATGGAAGTTTGTAAATGAAGTGATTTGATTGGATTGTACTCTGGACAGCTGTTATTAGATTTAATTGTATATTTTTGGCAGCTGATGTACATTGTATAAAAGACAGTTGTTATCCATTGGCTTTTGGTGTACCAGCTTTACTCATGATCATTGCTTTAGGTAAGCACACCAATATATCAATATATACATACCATATCTTATAAATCAGAATTGGCTTGCAGGACTCCAAAATTACAATAACAAAAATATTTCCATTGTTAAATTAGTACTCATTCAATCAATTGTAGAGCAGAACCTGAAAACTTGTTGTTACTCAGAAATTCACACTGTGTGATCTAAAGAGAAATGACTTTTTGATCTAATGTCTGTACCTTGAGATCAGTTTGGATTGTTTGTGTAAAGAATTGTACTGTGTACTCAGGGGACTTACCGATTTTTTTAGGCAATTACACTTGACTGTAGAAATTTGTTTTTTTTTTGTTATAGTGATATTCTGGGCTGGGAGAAAACAATATAAACATGTACTTTTAACAGGTAATGTTATAGGCCAGGTAGCTGCCTGTATCATGGTAAGTTCTGTATTTAAGATTGACAACTCATTTAAAATTTTTGTATCACAGAATGAAGCAATTTCATTGGACCTCGACTGTAAACATTATGGTTTATTGTTTACTGACTTTCTGTCAAGGATTTGCTGTATTTGCCAGTGTACAATCCAACCGAATAGCTGCATTTACAAACTTCTTTGATGAATAGCAGTCAAATTATAAAACAAAGTTTGTAATAGCTTGACATTGTGAAGAGTGTAAGAACCATATGACCCTAGTAAAGTACTGCTGTGTCTATCTTTGTTTTAACTTGTAGCATGCCCTCAGACAGAAATGTAGAAGTATTAAAACAGAGAAGAAGAAGAAATCTCATTGGTTGAACCATGCTGAGGACAAATATGAGGTAAGCATCACAAAAATTGTAGCTTTGAGAATTATAACATACACATAAGAACTATACTACTATAACTCACGATATATTGGTTAATAATCTTCATTATGATAACATTAACCAATCAGGTTTCTTTATATTGTATGTTATGATTATATTAAAGCCTTTCCTCTCCACTGCCTTTCCTCTCTCCTCTCCACTGCCTTTCCTCAATCCTCTCCACTGCCTTTCCACTGCCTTTCCACTCCATTGGCTTCCTTCTCTTCACTTCTTCTTTCCCTTTTTCTTCACAGACCTGCTTTGCTTCCTTCTGTCTTCTACTTGGCTGCCTTCATTGCTAATTACTTTCCTTGTTTTTCTAGGTAGAGTTTATATCTGATGTTAAACAAGTATTAAAAGTTTTATGGATATTTTTACCATTACCAGTATTCTGGGCTCTGTTTGATCAACAGGGGTCACGATGGACTTTACAAGCTGAGCAGATGGATGGACATGTGGTGAGTACAACTTCAAGGGACAAAGTGGGCTATATGTTCTTTAAAGTCTGTTCGCAATCTTCTGGGGTTGATTTGGATCTTGAATGTATGTAATTAGAACTTATAAAATTGCATGAAAATCTATTCAAATATACCTCAAACTACAAATTTCACTTTTCATATATGTCTTTTCTATATATGACAGTCTAAAAAAGACGAGTCTTTCAAATGCGGATAATTCTGTACACACTTAGATTTGATTTATTTTCAGGGAAGTTTAGGGAGAATCAAACCAGATCAACTCCAAGTTTTAAATCCAATTCTTATTTTGATTTTCATACCAATTTTTCAACATATAGTATATCCCTTGTTAGATCGTTGTAAGGTTCCAAATAGGTGGGTACTTGTTATATCAGTCAAATGCCTTTTAGGAAAGAACCATGGAACTGCTGCAGTTACTGTTAAATTAGACAGGAAATTGAATTTGAATTAACTGCATCTGCCATGAGTTCGTTATGCAATTTGACACCTTGCCCAATATATTCTTAACAATTTTGTCAGATCATAAATGGCCAGTTGAGTCACACTAATAGGAAAAAAAACAAAAAATATATATCAAAATTTGTATTTTAATCAGCTTGATTTTAAATGTCTTTTTTTATTAGACCAATACAGAAAATGGTGGTTGGAATGATATTTGCTTGTGGGGCTTTCATCATAGCAGGCTTTGTACAGATCAAATTAGATGTAAGACTTTATAGTAACAAGACAATATATGCAATGGCGTTTCTAAGCATGATTAAGCGAGGAGACATGTAGAGTCCACAGAATTCTCAAGGGTGCTCACTGGTCCCCATATGATTATTGCTGATAATGACTGGAAATCTCATAGTGCTTTAAGGGGACAATGTGCACAAAATTACATTGCATATTTTGAAATATGTCTTAGTCTAAAAGCAGAGATCAAACTAAATGTCATCAGACATCGTCTTTTTTCCCTATTTTGGGAACATTACCATTGAAATTTTAGATTTGTCAGTTGGTATTTGGCTGTCTTGGTGATGTTCAGCTTTGAAAAGACATCTATAGAGTTGCCTCCCTTGTGGAAAAGTGTGAGACTGGATAATCTCTATTAAGTGCCTGTTGGATTACAGGTATCTGTCAAACTGGTATCCCAATCATTAGAACACCTCTACTTGTGCTTGATATAAGTATGAGCAGTGCAATAATGGAATACACTGTATATTTATAAATAAATGAAAATAAGGGAACCCATCTTTAACATTGACCAAAATCAATATATCATATATTTTGCCTGAAAAACGAAAACCCCAGTATGAATTATTATCTGTATATTTTTTATAGACATATAAAGTTAAAGCTTTTGAGGAGGGAGAATCTGGTACAGCCTTTATCAATACTGCTAGTTGTAATTTATCATTTACCTCATCTATATATAACTCATCTTTAAATCACAATCAGGTAGGATCATCACTATAGACCATTGCTTATCATTTTGGGGATACAATATATTAATAGTCAGAAGAAAATGCACGAAAATGACATAATCTATTCATATATACTTCAAACTAGAAATTTAAATTTCTATTTCTGTTTTTTTTTATAAAAAAAATGATGAGTCTACATTTTACCAGATAATTCTGTAGACACAAGGATTTGAAGTCTCAAAGTTAGATTGACATGTGAGCTCTATTACTGATTAGCTTATTTACACATTTCTGAGACTAATGTATGATTGGTCAAACGGATGGTGAACATGTATCTTTAATACCTGCTCAAAATGAAAGTATACTGAGTCTTCAGACTAATTCTTCAAGAAATGACATGAAATAAAATAAAATTTCATGTGCTTTTCTACACCTGCTATTGAAGATGTGCAATCGGGGAAATTTTGTAAGGACAGTGATATTAGCCAACTTTTTATATTTCCAACTGTCAAGATATTTGTAATGGCACAACCTTATTGTCCAATCCAAACGAACAGGAGCTTATTTATGTTACTCCTCTGATCTCCATTATTCTCCAAGATACACACTGTATGGCATATCCTGTTTTATTACTTTTTTTTGTCCAGAAAGGAAAGCATTTAAGAAAGTAGGATATAAAACTCAAGTTCTTTTCTTTAAGAACAAAAAAATAGAATGTAAAACTCAAATTCATTTCATTTTATGTATCAGAAACAGAAAAGTAAGATCTAAAATTCTATTCTATTTCATTAGCTCTATCAAGACAGAAATGTTGGATGTAAAGCTCCATTCTATTTCAGATCTCAGAATTCATTACATTTGAATCAAAAGAGGTTTCAATTCTTAGTAAATGTCCAAAAACTGGATTCTCTGCACAATATTCTGGAGATTTTATTCAAAATCAGCCATATATAGTTGTAACCATGGAAACAGATCAAAATCTTCAGATTTATCAAGTAAGTATAAGTATCAAATAAATATAAACTTATTTCAGCATATGATTTTTTTTACTATTATGACACTTTTAGTCAGACTCAGACTCAGGTGTTTATACATCAGATCTGACATGAAAAAAACAAAACTAAACTATACTATAAACTATTTACACTGGCTTCAGTCTGACACAGCATGTTACAACATGTTACAACATCCTCTCAAATGACAAATCAAAATAGAAAAATTTATATATTATGATGTGTCATTCTATATTTTCCACAAATATTATAATATTATATATTAGGCCATACAAGATAAATAGTCTGGTTTACAGGCCAAAAAATGCCTGATTGTTGCCTTAACATTAAATGTACATTAAATTTGTGATAATAAATGCTTTGGCTCGCTCCGATTTATTCCAGTTGAAAATCTAAAAAAGCGCTTATAAATAATGAATAATAAATAATAAATTCACCCTCTCACCCCGATTTTTGAAGAAAAAGGCCTTAAAACAGACTATTTATTTTGTATGGCCTAACATTTGAGGTGAAGAGACTGCAGCAACATTTTATTATCATACTGTGATGTGTAATAAAAGATTGTGTTGTGTCATACTGTGTTCGGTCTGATGTATAAACACCCTAGACTAAGCATTTTGTACACAAATATCTTGTCTAGATTCTGAATGGAGTTACCCTCCAACAAATTATAGAACAAAAGCTTTAAATTTGTATATAGATAAATTGTTTTTTTTTTGCAGTTTAAAATCAAAGGGAAAAAACCAAAAGCTGGAAAATCACAAATAAGGTACAGTTTCTGTAAACCATCATAATTTGGTCTAACCTTTCAGCAGCAATCTTTTTATGGATTATTAGTATTTAATTTACATCTGGGTTGACTACATAATGAGTAAAGCTGACTAATTCAAGGTCATCAGACTTTCAATGAGAATATCATCCTGCTGTATCAAGAATTGGTTGTTGTCAGACTCTTACACCTTTGTTAAATCAAGAAAACATTGCTGCTTATATTCCTATTCTTCTATTCTAAAAATGAAATTTAAATCCAGTAACAGTCTATGTTCATCAGTGGACTTACCTGGTGTTATAAATACTGTATACAACAGAATCCCTGCATGATCTGAAAATCAGCTGTGGCGCTGGCACTGATAGGTACCTATTGTAGTATACCTTACATTTGGTATGTTTTTTCAGTATGATAAGTTACCTACCTCTCCAAGAAGAAGTGTCAGTAGATATAAAATCCTCAGAACATATATACAGTATTAATATAACACATAGTAATATCAGTCAATATCATTCTATAGAACCTGGCAGGTCAGTTTTAGTTTATTATAATTTATAATGGAACAAGTATCTGAATGAAAACAGGGGCAGGGATTTTTAGAGAGACTTTAGGAAATATTTGGAGAAGTACCAATATTATCCCCATTATTTTATTGGCACCCATGTGTGTCCATTAGTTCATCTGTTCACATTTCTTGTAAGCACTATTGTAAGCAAATCTACAGGCTTCAACTGGTTTGTTATAAACTTTGTATAGGTCCTCCAATTTTTAACCCTCTTGATACCATACATTAAATGCTATAGCTATCATTTATTTTCAGCTATGGAATCTATTTACCAGACCAAAATGGAACTAGTAGTTATAGTTATCCAGTCACATTAGGTAGTGGAGCTGTTTATACTTTAATTTTAACAGCCAAAGATCTCCAGAATTATGATCCAAGATCTGTAAGTACTTGCAGAAAAGATGGATGAAAAACTCATTTCAAAATGTTCCTATCTACCAGCTGAACCTAGGCCAAACCTTTGGCATTGATCTTCCCAGATTATTCATACTCTTTTACAACTGAATTCTGAGTAAAGATGGCTTTTAAAGATCAACGGACATGCTGACCAAGATTAGAACCAATGAACACCATTTGTTCAATGCAAGCATGCTAATAATATCGAATTCTAACGTTGAACTGTAGTCCATCCATCTTCACTATGTCAAGCCATTACAACCTTCAGCTTATACCTTGACTGCTATAGCCACCTTTCTTGTATCTTGGAAGTTTGTACATGCAGTGATTTGATTGGATTGTACACAAGTAAATACAGTAAATCAAGAGACCTTAATGTTTTATCTTTTTCTGTCAAAGGCTCTGATTTGCTGTATTCACTGGCATACAATCCAATGAAATTGCTGAATTCCATGATACAAGAAAGGTGGCTATTGCTATGTTGAATTCTGACCCCATCTTATAAAGGTTGATATTTTGGTAATATATTTCAGGTTGATATTTTGGTAATATATTTCAGGTTGATATTTTGACCTATACCAGTGTAAATGTAAATGAGATGTCCATGTTGTATATGATACCTCAGTATATAGTTATTACTATAGGAGAGATCTTGTTCTCTATCACTGGTCTCTCTTTTGCTTATAATGAGGTAAGATCTTGAGCAGCTGTGGCTCAGTGAGTTAGAGGCTTGCATGCTTACCTTAAGGTCCAGGGTACAATCTCATAGATTGAGATAATATCTTCCTCCAGTCAGTGATACAGGTCTGAGTGACTTAACATGGAAAAGTTCAGACTGGACAATAAACCTAGGCCCCGTGTACATGTTATAGTTCTCTTAATAGGCGAAATTGAAAAAGGTAGACTACTACCGTTGCTCTGGCAAAATTTCCGTAATTGCATGCAATTTTTGTTGTTTTGTAGGCACCTACATCAATGAAATCAGTGGTTCAAGCTGGTTGGCTGATGACTATGGGTATTGGGAATCTCATCGTGGTGTTTGTTGCTGAAATCTCTCTTCTTCCTAGTCAGGTAACGTTGCCTATCTTTTTAATGTCATGGAGAGCCACTGTGATGAATACGACAAATGCTTGCTAACCTAAAGATCCATGATTTAATAATGGCAAATGTCAAGATAAAACTGTCAGGTTGGAGGTGCTGATTTGGGAAAGTGTCTAGTCATTCAGAGGGCAAAATCCAAGTGTTGGAACTGGAGTTGACAGTTGAAAATTGTAAAGAGTATGCCAATGCCACTGTTTTAACAAAATTTAACGCATTGTCGGTCTTTATTGGCCTATTATGTGCAGAAAAGTAGAACATAAACCTCTATTCATTTCATTTCATTTTTTTCTGTTTTCAGACAGCTGAGTTTTTTCTATTTGCCAGTTTAATGGGTTTGGACATTATAATATTCAGTATCATGTCATGTTTTTATAAATATTCTTACACCAGTTCCAATACAGACGATGATTTAGACCACTTGGTTCCTCCTGATACAGCAGAAGACATTCCGCTAAGTGACTCTAGTGACGGCAAAACAAAATATTCTTGATACTTGGTGTACTTTTTATGCTTTAAAGGAATAGAGTTATCAAAACATTTGATTTTAGACCAATTTTTGCTACCTGTGGCACTTTTCAAAAGTGAAATTTATGTAATTTCCCTTCCTTCGCCCAATTTGGCTAATGAAGTGTGCAATGATGTAATTTTGAGAAAGATCTTTAAGGTGCAACTGTACATGAGGTGTGTCACTTTTCATAATGAATAGTTGTGGCAGGTTCATCAGAATCTTGCAAAAGTGACCAAAGTCTAGATATCAAGCCTCTATTTGTCATTTTAATAGGAAATGCTGAAATTAAGAGTGGCGCTACTTCAGCCAGTATTCAATTGCTTACAAACTACATTTTGTAGTTACTGAAATTGAGCTCTAGAACTGTTGTGATCTCTATGATAGATTTGTAGATTGTTCAAAAAAATGTTGAAGGGTTTGAAATGCTCTTTTTAAAAGGGATACAGTTGTCTAAATATTTTCTTAACCAGCAGACAACTGTATTCCTTTAATTTCTAATTTTTATACGCCCACACGTAAGATGGGCGTATATTGTAATCACCCCTTCCGTCCGTCCGTCCGTCCGTCCGTCAGTCCGTCCGTTCACATTTGGCTCGTGTTCACTCTACAGGCTACAGTTCTTTATGAATTCTTTTGATTTTTATTTTGTGTGTCAATGTCATTATGAAGATGATCCCTATTGATTTTCGTGATGATCGGATAATCTTTCACCGAAATATCATGTGTGACTTGACGTTTTTCTCTATTAGCTATATTGTACAACTCGTGCTCACTCTACAGGCTACAATTTTTTACAGATTCTTTTGATTTTTATTTTGTGTGTCAATGTCATTATGAAGATGATCCCTATTGATTTTCGTGATGATCGGATAATTTTTCACCGAAATATCGTGTCTGACTTGACGTTTTTCTCTATTAGCTATATTGTGCAACTCGTGCTCACTCTACAGGCGACAATTTTTTACAGATTCTTTTGATTTTTATTTTGTGTGTCAATGTCATTATGAAGATGATCCCTATTGATTTTCGTGATGATCGGATAATTCTTCACCGAAATATCGTGTCTGACTTGACGTTTTACTCTATTAGCTATAGTGTGCAACTTGTGCTCACTCTACAGGCTACAATTTTTTACAGATTCTTTTGATTTTTATTTTGTGTGTCAATGTCATTATGAAGATGATCCCTATTGATTTTCGTGATGATCGGATAATTTTTCACCGAAATATCGTGTCTGACTTGACGTTTTACTCTATTAGCTATATTGTGCAACTCGTGCTCACTCTAAAGGCTACAATTTTTTACAGATTCTTTTGATTTTTATTTTGTATGTCTATGTCATTATGAAGATGATCCCTGTTGATTTTCATGATGATCTATCGATTTTCATGATGATCGGATAATTTTTCACCGAAATATCGTGTCTGACCTGACGTTTTACTCTATTAGCTATATTGTGCAACTCGTGCTCACTCTACAGGCTACAATTCTTTACAGATTCTATTGATTTTTATTTTGTATGTAAATGTCATTATGAAGATGATCCCTATCGATTTTCGCGATGATCGGATAATATTTAACCGAAATATCGTGTCTGACTTGACGTTTCACTCTATTAGCTATATTGTGCAACCCTGTAGTCACTAAAGACTGTTTAATCATTTCTGACAGCTGCCAGTGGGCGTATGTTACCTTGCCTGGCAAGCTATCTTTAATTTTTAGGTTTTAGAATTGCGTGGCAGTTATCACTGTATTTTCCTGGCTTTTAAAATTTGAAAAATGATGTGATGTCTTTTCTGGTAAATGCTCAAATTATTCTGTTTATTTGGTGTTTTTTTTTGTTTAAGTGGATTCAAGAGAGATTTTCATTCATTTGTATTTAATATGCTTCTAATTGCAACATTCCAGTTTCTGTTTTGATCTCCCTCAATTCCAGAAATACTATTATTGAGTGTAACCTTTAATATATTTTATTGTTTTGATGTGTTAAGGGGAGAAGTAAAGATATAGACTAGTGGGTATCAGAGGAAGTTTATTTTAAATGTGGACAGCAGATGTATATTGAATTGCCTGTGTCCACCTGTCAGTCCATTTCCATTTGAGTTCCATTTTCACAAATTTTTCAGTAATTTTTTTTTGAGTTATTGCCATTGATTTAGCCCAAATAGGTCAAAATTGAATTGTTTATGTTGTGATGTATTTACTATAATACTGTGACTAGAACATGCATATGATATTTAGTAGGAGATTGCTTACCATACGGTACACTAGCTAGTCACGTGACACGCATTCCTTAGTGACGTAATTACTTGTAATGTAAGCCGCTATTTGTAATGGCACATGTATATTATTATGCCAAATAAATGAGTCCTTACACTCTATGTCCACAACAATTAAACGTGACATTGGCGACGAGAGATAAATAGAAGGTTTGAGAACGTTTTGAAGACATTTTAACGTACGATACTCCACTTTTTAACGGTTAAAATGGCATTAAAAGGAACACTGTACGAGGAATTCGATGTCAAAGATGGCGACATTTTCTGTTACTTAGCAAGATTGGACCAATTTTTCATTGCCAACGATGTTGAAAATACGATAGCCAATGCCGCTAAACGACGTGCAATACTTTTAAGTAGTATTGGAGGGACGCCATTTCAAGTTTTGACTGATTTATGTTTTCCTGCAGCTCCTCACGAGAAATCATATGATGAATTGAGTACGTTACTAAACGAACATTACAAATCGCCCAAGATTCCTGTCACAGAACGTTTCAAATTTCACAATTTTAAACAAAAGGAAGGACAGTCCATAACAGATTACGTCAAGGAATTGAATCATATGGCAACCAATTGTGAATTTACTGCTGGAACTTTGGAAGAAAATCTGAAGGACAGATTTATTTGTGGTTTGCTAAACACTAGTATTCAGAAGAAACTTTTGTATGAAAATAAAGATTATCATGAATCTGTGAGACTTGCCAAAGCAGAAGAAGCAGCCAGGCAAAATGTCAAAGATATGAATAAAAGGGATAACTATAATAGTACCAGTACGACTACTCCTGTAAATAAAGTTTACTCCAGGAAACCTAGGGATTCTCCTTCACAATCTCAGTCCAAACCTGATGGATTCAGATCACGATGTGACAGATGTGGATTATCCAATCATTCTAGAGATGATTGTCATTATAAAAACTTTAAGTGTTTCAAATATAAACAAATAGGACATTTACGTTCAGAATGTCGTGGTAGAAGGCAGAATGATTCTAGTCAACGAGGTAATAGGCCTAGACAACGTAATAGAAGTAAATCAAACCAACGACAACGTATACGATATGTAGATAGTTCTGAAGATTTTAACGACACATCTGATGATAATGTTAACAGAAATGACAGTAAAGAAAACGGTGAATGTGCTCATACGATTTATAGGGTGAATATGTTTAAAAACTGTAAACCAATTAAAATTGATGACTTTATCAGGTGTTTTACTAACTATGGAACTTGACACTGGTGCTGCAGTGACACTTATTAGTTACGAAGATTATGTGAAATATTTTAAGAATCATAAACTGGAACATAGTAATAAACAATTGCATACTTACTATACTAAAATAGAAGTCTTTGGTGAAATTGTGGTCAATGTGAGATATGGAGAACAATTGTTTAAGAATTTGTCTATTTGTGTAACGCGAGCAGATCATTACGCACCCCCATTACTTGGTAGGGACTGACTGAACATAATTAAATTAGACTGGAACAACATATTTTCACAATCACAAGGGCAGTTCACAGTAAGCCGAAATCCTTTACAAGAATTGAAGTCACGATATGCTGAAGTTTTCACAGAAGAATTGGTAGGAGTTAAAGGGGTGAAAGCTCATCTTTATATGAAACCAGAGGCACAGGCAGTGTTTTGTCGACCGCGACCTGTGGCGTTTGCGTTAAGACCTCAGGTTGAAAAAGAACTTTTGCGCTTACAAAAAGAAGGAATCATAGTACCGGTTGAATTTAGTGAATGGGGTACACCTTTAGTTTGTATAGCTAAATCTGATGGAACAGTTAGAATATGTGGTGATTTGTGGTATATTGGTATTTGTATTTTGGTAAGAATTGCTCTCCATACTGTAATATTGATATGTATGTCAGACATGCGCAATAAGAACTTCCTGAGCATGACTTGCTTCCATGTGAGAAGAATATAAAATAAACTCCTATACTTTGTTTCTTACATCTTACATTAATTCGATACCCTTCTACCCACGCAAGATACAATATGGCGACGAGAATGGTTTGTACTAAATAATTGAGTAAAATGGGTCTTCATCCACCAGCGTTTTTCCTGCCATCGCCAGGAAAACCGGCTGTTCCCTGGACCGCATGTCGGGCTAACTTCGAGAACTACTTGGTTGCATGTGGAGGAACCGACTATGCTGATGGTCGGAAGAGAGCCTTACTTATTCATTGTCTTGAAACTCATGGTTCAGAAGTCTACCATTCCCTTACTGATGCAGGCACTTCTTACAGAACATGTATGCAAACCCTACAAGCCCATTTCGGTCCTAAATTCAATATTAGTGTTGAAAGGAGCCACTTACTCAATTCTAGAGAGCAACTACCTGACGAATCAATAGATGAATACCTAGCCTTTCTGAGAAATTTAAGTAAAAATACCCAGTTTGGTGCCATACTAGACGAAATACTGCGAGATCTTATTGTTGGTAAAGCTTATCACAAGCAGGTTCGAGAACGCTTACTGATGGAAGAAAATATTACTCTACAACAAGCTTTAACTATAGCTCGACGAGTGGAAATAGCCCTGAAAGAAACACAACAGGAGCCTACAACTAAAGAGACAAATACAACAGATGACTTATCTCCTGT